TATTTCAGAGCTCTTTCTCGATATTAATCGAAGAAAAGTGACGGAACGAGCGCTGTCGGATGCAAGTCTGGCATGTTTCCCGAGAAGACCTTCCATCGGACGTCTATGGTAAAGAACTGTCGGTACTTCTCTTCCTAATCTTCATAAATAAATTCAATGAGAATTTGTAAGGATTTTTGTACGTAAAAATGCTGAGATTCCAGCTCGCTCCGTATTATCATTTTGAAGGGAGAATTGGAATTGAAGGAATGGCCAAGGGAGATGGACACTCGGAGGTTCGATCGAAGGCTAGGCGGATTTAAAAGACGACATTGCACCCTATTGACCAAAAAGCCTTGTCCACCATCACCAGAGCTACTGAATGGTTCTCGGAAAAGAGGGCAGCTTCCATTCCCGGGCTTATATCTTTGTGCAAATGCACGTACGGTACGACGATACTTCGCATACCCGTTCCCCGAAGAGTTGCTCAACATTGTCGCGTACAATAAAAACTCCACCTCATTTTGTGCACTTACCATTAGAAAAGACTCTTAAATGCCCGGGCCGTAATCTCCGTGGCGTTTCACAGCCACGAGTTTCCGAGTAAGTAGACATTTTCTCCATGGCTGAATAACGCGTGGACGGATATTATTATCACCGGCAAAAAGTTGAACTGAAAAGAATTCCTCCTCGTGTCTTATTTATTGCCTGGACGTACGTCCAAGCGGTGCCGGCGACAGGCAAAGAGTCTCCGTCAAAAAGTTCCCTCAATCTTCCGGCTGACATCCGATGCCGGAAGTTGGAGAATTTAGTTCTCCCTAAAGCGAGATTTTTACGGCCCGGGTTACGAAACCGATCCATCGAGTGGCATAAAAAATAGCGAAGACCGTTCGATCCCTTCTCCGTCGGTCGATCTCAGTTTCTGGAGCACGGGGAAAATTCCGAGGGAAAATCCATAAAAATTATGGAACACCCCTGGAAGCCTCATAATTAATTACGACGTTTATTTGAGTTACTCGTTACGTTTAGACGTCACGGTTGGGGCATAAAATGGTCTGGAAAAAAATTCAAGGAGTAATTACGATGCGTAGGCGGTGGCCTTACGATGCGTCGCGGAGCGGAAATCGATCGACGGGAGTGGACCGGAAATGCCAGATTGACATTTGACAAGTCGGGACAATTATTTGAGGCCGTCGCGGCTGTTGAGCGGCTCCGAGCAAAACCTGGATGTGCGAACGGCTCGAAGCACTTACGTTTTTCCTTCTGGCGCCACTTGGGAATGACGTGACGTCTTAATGGAACGCGCTCCTTTCGTACTCGCGTTTCTGCCCACTCTACGTGTGACTCCGTCTTGGAAAGAACAGCCACTTGGAACGGTTCTCCGTTGAATTCCTCTTGAAATATCCGGAAAATATTTGCGGTACATTATGTACCGAGAATATTTTAAGAAAAGGGGTTCCGAGTCTCACCGGCATCTCGGCTTGGCTGGCACTATCTAATTTCATAATTTCGGAATTTTTAAAAATTCTGCTACAATATTTGCATCCACAATGGTACAAGTCACACTTTTCACCGTGCTCCTATACATCGCGTATGGGCAACGTAAATAACGTCACAGAATTTTTCATTTGCATCCCTCCCCGCGGATGAATGGCACAATTTATGCACGACCCTTGTCCGGCGTAATAACGAAGCTCGAGCATCTGCTCAAACAACCGTCCCGAGAAAGGAATGAAATTTCAAGCGTTCTCCAAGGATGTCGCCATTAGACCTACAGGTCCTCGTTAGAAGTTGTCCGTCCTAAAAAGGTCTCGACGACTCGTGGAAAAAGTCGGGAAATGCAAATGGGTGATTCGCGTCCTCCCTTTCCGGTGGAGGATTCTCGAGGCATGGGTTTAGCATTGCAAAGTGGCGGATACGAAGAGACTTATCACCGGTCCGTCATCGATTTGCAGGATCCTTTCACCGTCACGACCCCTTCCGGGGGCTAGACTCGTCGTCACGTAAATCCGAATCTAACCTCCGATCTAAATTGCCTGGTTGACCCCACGGCGACTCGGCCTTTTTTCTTCTCTCGGAGGGCCCTCGAGATTGAATTCCATCGCGCCGATGAAATATTTATCGGGGGCGGTGTTCACGGGCCCCGCTGACGAAAGTCTTAAAAGGTACCTTTGACAAAGCGGCTTCACACGTGGGAGCGACCCCGCTGCTTAGGCAACGCGAGTTTCCTCGTAATGTATAAAAAGAGTCGACTCTCGGCGTCGACCTTACGCAAGATCATGAGGGGACGGGACGCGGGATGGAAATTCGTCAAGAGGCATTTCCAATCGATTTTACTTTTTATCCGTCATCCCACAGAGGTTCCCTTCAACGGTCGATCTTGGTCGTGGAAACTGCAGGTTCCACGAGCGCTTCCGATTTATTCCCATCGATATTATAGTCCAAGGATGAGCTGTCCGGCCAGCGAACCAACAGCATCAGCCTTGTACTTGTTTACGGTTTTGACAAAGCTACTTTGTACACGATTTTATGGATCGAAGCAATGCCACGTGTCATGCGTTTACTCGGTCGATCCTATTCCATCTAAACGCAAGGTTGAGCTATGATCGTTAAATAATTTATTAATAGCGACAGGCTCGTGTCAATTTTTACGAGACTTCCCCCGGGTGCGTGAATATGACAAAGGTCCTTTCAGGAATTCCCTGTACTCACGGAATTGGCGTTAAGCGCGACACGCATTTATTCACATCTCGTCAAAGCGTAAAGTCGAAGTCTCGTCGTCAATGGCGAGCTTACGGCGATAACCTTGTACCAGATTGCGTGGAAGTGCTACCGGGTTTGCAGCTTTTATCGGTCCGTGAACCACTGTCGGCAATAATGGCGAAACAATCGCTCGCGGTCGAGCAAACTGCCCGGGGAGTCGCAGTAAAAGCTCTAGATCCGATAACGACTGCTTGTAATCTGGCACCGCGCTCGTAATATTCAGATAAGCTTTTGTTTCAGATAAGTGCAACTATTGGGCATTAACATATTGCCCCGACCGGAAGGAAACGAGAAGCGCGCGGAAAAGGAGCGTTTCGTTTTACCAACGTCGGGTCGACTCCTTACGAAAAAATTCGGCTGGAAAATATTTTATTCTGAAAAATGCCTATTTTTTCACATCACTCCGTTTGGCGTGATAAAAACGTAATTACGTATGCTGAATTTTTCTGACCTTCGATTCACCCAGGAGTCACCTCGCCGTACCTTACTGTAGTTCCTTAACGACAATGAGGTTAACTGACCACGAAACCGAAGGAAACATATGATCTTGGCGTGGCTGCCAATGTTAACCACATTGATGCCAATATTCTCTCACTTTACGTATCGACAGGCTGGGTACTTTAGCCAGGCTAGTTTGCCAGAGCAACGACACGGCATTGGATTTCATCTCCTCCGATAAACTCGCAGCATTTGCGATACGAACGATCGGCATAGCCGGGAAAATTCCTCTATCCTCGTATAAAACCCCCAAAAAGACCAATTCCATCGACAATTTCCCCAAAGCCACGTGATAGAGCCCGAAAAAAAAAATTGATGAATTCCCCCTCAACTCTTTCAAACACAACTTCCGCGTGGTTACAATTTCTCTCTCCGAAAATTCCACCGTTTACCCAATCGTTTCACGCACGAAATGTAGGATTTCCGTTTACGCCGGAGTATTTTGAGGAAAAATCAAACGATCTCGCTTCGTCATCGATTCCATTCCGTTTCGACTCGAGCAACAAACTGCTCCGATCCGAGGATTTCCGGGCCAGCCTAGCAGGGAGGGAAGTTGCAGGTGGAAGTGCACAATGCCCCTAATAATTCGTCTGACACGCGTAATCTTCGAATCGAGGTCGGATTTAACAGAGCCCTAAGCCCTAAGCGGCTTGGAGCGAGGAGAAAGGGTGACAATCGAAAGAGGACCAACAATGGAGACGAAACGTGCTCCAAGAGCGCATAAATGTCCCAAGGGGGGAATTACGATTACGGGTACAGGGGGTATACCGGTTTTGGAATCCATTTGGCTCTTTTTGGTAAACCTGCTGTCTCCTTCCCCATAACCCGCCCGGTCGGTTCGTTTGATATTCGACCTTATTTGCAAGCAACGCGCAATGCGTCGTTACGCGACTTGCCGAGAATGCCCGGACATTAATCACCGCTAACGAGCTCGCACCAATGTTTAATACCTGCAAGGAGGTCCCGGGGGATTTATCGGTAACGTAAGGTCACCGGGATAGAACTCTGGATCCCTGCTCCGAGAATCAGGAAATTCGTCCTTACATATGCAGGACTGCACTCGGACTGCAAGTGGTACTCCTCGAGTCCTTACATTGAAATACACTTATGAATAATGTTTCCTTTCATGTAGAAAAATACCTGTCCCCGCGCCTCGGGAGTACACGGATAAAAAGAGTCGGCTTCGCCAGGAAAATTCACGAGGCGGAGACCGAAACAGGTCGAGCTGCATTTTTCTCTCAAGCGACGTGTCGATAACTCGAGCCCCCTTCTCGCGCATAATCGATGCTTCGATTGCTTCCTCCCACGTGCTTTTGACAGCGAGACAATACGGAAGCGCACAATGCAACCAGGGAGAAGACAAAAGCGAGGTGCAGGAAGCTAACAACGCGGCCGCGATGCCATCGTTTCCGACGTTTCATTCAGAAAGCGCAGGTGAAATGGCCTGCGACCGTCCATCGGCAGGTGCGCGGACGTCGGTCGGATCTTCGGGAGCAAGAGAGACAAATCCGGCTCCGCTGCTTCACCTGGAAAGGATTTCGGAGGAGGAATACCGGGCTCCGTCGAAGAGGCCGGACTCGTGTACACACCGGGAGAGATTACGTACTCCACCGCACCGAGATAAGGCGTCGTGCCGCTCAAGAGAGTTCCTTGCTCCTATGCCGGAGCTCCACGGAGCGCGGCGCGTCCACGCCTCGAGGACGAAAATATTAATTTCTCGCTTATAATTAATTTTAGGAGATCGGTACGAATGGACTCACCGGCACGAGCAGTATCACGGTGGCGAGGAGGCGTCGCAGCATCCTGACGAGGAATTGACTTCCGGCGATCCTTACGCGTCCGCCAAGATGGCGATTCTCCTCTGCTGTTTCATATTTCCGGGTCCCCTCTTCGCCGCCGAGTCGGCCCTCTTTGGCTGTTCTTCCCAGCCAGAAAGTCGGCCGAAAGCTCCTCGGAGAGCTTCTCCGTCCCCCGACGTCTTCGCGGGATGATTCTCACGACGGGACGCGTATCGTCATTGTGCTCTGCGAGGGAAAACGCCTCGATGTACCGTTGACACGACCTCGCGAACAATATGGTGGCAGGAAAACCGCGTCGCTGATCAAAGAGGGACTTTTTTCTCTTGTCGATGGACGAAGCATCCGGCAAGGAACTCCGAATTGGGGATCTGCGCGATGAAGTGTCCCTTTTTTCGGCCCTCCGGGATCAGCGCATCTGCGTTCAGGGTACACAAACATGATTCAACATCCCGGCAGGTCCTTTTTCAAAAATCGCAATATGAAACGCAAGAGAAAAACATGGAAACCCGCCCGGAATTTCGGTCGCTTACTCTCCCGTCCGCTCTGCTTTTTATATATTTTTTTTCCGCGTCATTTATTTTGACAGCTTGAATATCGAAATACACAGGAGGGGAGAAATGATCATTTTTGAGGGTAGGTTAACATGTAGGTACCATCGCCACCTTTTTCAGGGATGAAGAAACGGAATTACCGCGCAAGACCCGCAAATGGGTTTCCAAACTCGGCGTTAAAACCCCATATCTTCCCGATAAGGGGCAGGAGGAATAAAAAAGCCGTTTATAGTAAATAAATAAAAAGTCATGCCGTCCACTTTGGCGCAAGTAGCTCGGCCGTCTCATAAGTGCGCGGGAGCATGGCCCCCCGGAGAAATGAGTTTCGCGGGTTTTTATCCACGCCGTAACCGAGCTTATGTAGCCTAATGTATAGGTTGGCGAGTACGTGGGGTACGCGAGGGATCGAAAAGTTCACAAGTTAATTAACATCGATACTCGGTGCGCGTTGGCACGTCGATGTTAATGCCACGGCAGCGTTAACGGCGCCGCGGCCGGCTCCTCCCTCCGATCTTTCCGGTTAAAAAGGGGCACAAAGCTTGGATGTTCACAAATTGACAGCGTAAATCACTCCGGACTAAAGCTCGAATTTCCTGCCGTCCTCCCACGTGTGTGGACATATTCGAGTGCATCCACACGTGCACGGCCTTCCGCCGGCAATTTGCCAGCGTGAATCGAAGGCGCCGCCGATTCGGTCGAGGCGCGACGTCCCGCGATTTATCGAACTCCCATTATCGACGTGCCGATTACGCGATCGAGTGCGCCCGGAGCCCGGTATAGCCACCACCGAGCGAAACAATTTGCCCGATCAATTGTAAATCACCGGTAATGCATGCTATCGACTGGCCTTAACCGTGCATATATTATTAACGCGATTGTTATCCAATGGCCCGTGGAAAATACCAAAGTTTTTCCCTCCTCGCCCGATCCGCGAGATACGAGCGACGATACCGCCCAATGTCAGCCCGAAGCCCGTTTTCAAAGGTTCCACCTTTTTCATTGTCTCTTTTAAATATTTTTTCTTTTTTTTTTTATGGCTCGTTGTGGGTGGACCGGTCTTCGACGCGCGTGGGGCATGAATCGGACAAGTACTAGGGAAACCCACCGTGAAATATCGTTCCTTGTAATTATTTTCTACCCGATGTGTGGTTCGACGCATGCTCGAGTCGTGTCGGTCGCCATATTTTAATTGCGATGTTCCAACGTAAATGAAGACATGCTCGTGACAAATTTTGCCACCCGGCCATTCCGGCACGCACCGTAATTTGTTTCCACCCATTCGCGAGCCCTCTTTTTCCGTCGAGGTTTCGAGATCGTCCTTTTCTCCAGCCTCTCATGGGGTCCAAGAGAGGCGAGCATATGGCCGATGTAAAAAGTTATAATAATGACACTCCTCTATCGGGTGCCTCGGCCCATGCGTGAATGCTTATCCGTCGCGGTCGGGCCTCGGATATGACGTGCCGAATCTAGGGTTATTTTTAATTCACAGCGGCGAATTCCGAGCCCTCTCGAAAGGAGGTCTCCACGTAACGCGATGTTCCTCTTTTTGAGATGTGGACCCCATGGGAGACCGAAAAGCGTGGAAGATCGCTCGTTTTGCCGCGAACGTCACTCCGGGATGAGGGAACTCTCAAACAACGCTTTTATATTTTTTGGAGCAGAGTACGCTTGCAAATTGAGGTACAAAAAAAATACAGGAATAAAAGAAATGCGCGATATGGTTGGGTGAATTTTTCTAGACTTCCAAGGAACACGGAATATCTCGTCTCGTACAACGTGACACTTAATGATCATCACCGGAGGCTGATATGTATCGAGCGCGCAAAAGGGACAGCTGATCAAAGTTTTTTTGTTAATTTCAATTTTTCTCCAGCAATTTTTCTTGGCACATTCGTCTGCCATATTCCCGAGCATAAATGTCAAGAGCAATTCCAGTCTCCGCCACTCAAGGGAAACACGCATATACATGTCGTAAAACGACTTCAAAGACCATTATCGTAATTCTCCGGGAATGTACTCATCAAATTCGGAATTTATTTCACTGATAGAGCAGTCTTTTCTCCCGGCCCTTTTCTTCGTCCCCGAGCGAAGCTAAAAACCTTTATCTTTTAGTGAGAACGGCGCGTGACGTTTAAAATGATTTTAGTTGTGAAATAAAACGTGTTTAAAAAATTGAAGAAGGTTACCGTGATTTTAATTGACACCCAGCGATGGACGACGACATTAGGCTCGAATAGATACCAAAAGTGAACGGGCATTCGTTTTCTTTTTTTATCGGTCGACGACAGGGTTTGCTATTAATAGGCTTTGTTAAAAGCTATCGTGAAAAAATGGTCATTTATGCGTCGCGGAGGATAAGATAAGTGCAGGTTTTAAGTATGCACAAAAAGCAGGGCGTAAAGCTGGAGTACCGTTTGTATAGGCACGTTTCATCTGCGGCCGCATGCCCCGTTTGTGCCTCTTGAAAAAAACGAGACCGTCGGTTTACAAACATGTTTACACCATGCTTTTACGAATGTAAGCGGTGCTTCCAATTGGCGAAACATTTGCCAATTTTACGCAATTTTACGAAATTGACTTTGACCGCCACTTGGAGGGAATTCTCGTTCGCGTTAGTTTCAATTAAATATCCCTTTTGAAGTGGAGGCAACCAATTAATTTAGTGCCTTGGGTGAATGGCATCGAGATTTCCTTTAACGAAGAAGTCGGATCGATGCCTCGATGAAGCTCACTTACGTCATAATTATGAATTGTCGGCGGATCAATTTTCAAGCATCGATACGATTGACTTTGCACCGCAATCGTATTCGTTCTTTGACTCCCTCTACAAAGGACAAGAACAATGTGCAATAATTCACGAAGGGAGGAAAATTTACTTTGTCACTCGTTGCTGGTTTATTTAATACGATTCGCATTAATCACCTACTACTCCTGACAGGAAAAAATTGTATTGCTAATCTTAAGGACGAGCGAACAATAAGTGTTAAGTGGCAAATGAATTGCTTCTCACAATGCACACCATGCACGGTCATGTTAATAATTAAAAGTTCAGTTCTATTAGGCGCGTACACGAAGGCGATATATTCTTCACGTACATATGGCAAAATTTCATTCAGCGTTTATTACCTCTATTATGCCGCTACTACTGTTTCTCAAGATACGATACCGCATTCACAGTCGGATACGCACATCTGTTCGAGATAAATCGACGAGCGTACGTAATTTCATGCAAATGTGCGAAAACAAACGCCATCTCGACGATGATACGACATCGTTACATGGTGCACAATTAACAATAGCTTGTATGAATTTATGACCAGCGAGCAATTCGGTAACATCCTATGTCAAAGTTTTATCGACCCACGTACGATAATTCAATAAACTAAAAAACGAAAAAAAGCGACATTTCTGCCAGTGACAACTTTATACATCACGCCCGCCTGCTGCAAAAAGTAAACGTGCTTGCATTAAATCCACTTGAAACGACTTACTCCCCTCGTATAACACGCTATAAGATTCGCACGTTTATGACCCTACTCGAAACTTCATTTTTCATTTCGATAATCTCCAGTCACGTTTCCAACAATAGCTCTCACGTTGAACTCGTTGAACTCCCTTCAAACAAGTATTATCAGACATCTAATAAAAAAAAAAAATCAAATACGTTAAAAAGTGCTTATCCATAACCTGCAGAATTTTCGCTTTTAAAAATTCTTCTAATTACAAAAAAGTGTCAATGCCCCGTTTACGTAGGGATGTAAAACGTAACATAAAAAGAGGACGGTTTCCAAGATTAATCCGTTCGCCGTTTATCAAAAGCGTTTTATCTCTCCGCGAAAGAACACGTGCTTCGGCGGATGTACCTTTAGGCGTTTACACGGCAGGGCGATTAGGAGAGCCAGCGACGGCAGTCGCGAAGAAACTTCGGACTGGAATATAAATTTAATTGAAATTGCGTTCGATTTAAACGAAACTTTGGATTGTAACGGATTGAAACGAAAGTTTCGATTGTAAGGGGTTTAAGTGAAACGTCGCAGAACCGTCGAAGGGCTTTCCGAGATTAACTCGCGTTTGCAAGAACATTCTTTTATTTAACGAGGTACCTTAGGAGGCGAACGCGAGAGGGACGCGTCGGTCGATCGAGAGAGCCGGCGACGGACTGACCGCGGAGAATCGGTGCACCACGTGTCAACCCTCGGGATCATCGCCGAGCCCGCCGAACTTGGGATTGGTCGGCGCGCCGGTCGAAAAATCCTGACACTCGGGAACACGCCCGACGTACTTTAGAGGCGCGTATTGCTGAACTGCCGGCTCGCGTTCAAGGAGGACCGACTTTATAGAGGCGCTGCGCAACGCGCGCTTCCAGCGCTACCACGACGACCCACCACCTGGTACTCCGCGATACTCCTCCACGGTGATATTCCCTGGAGGAAAAGCGCTTTTCCCCAGGAGAAATCTGGCTTTCGGAGATTCGTAGATTCATAGATTCGTATATTCGTACATTCGAACATTCGTACATTCGCGTACATTCGAAAATTCGTACATTCGAAAATTCGTACATTCGAAAATTCGTACATTCGTACATTCGAACATTCATATATTCGTACATTCGAACATTCGTACATTCGTACATTCGAAAATTCCGTACATTCGAATTCGTACATTCGAACATTCGTACATTCGTACATTCCGAGATTTCAACACAAGTTCACATCCATACAGGACCGCTGCAAACCGTAATGATTACGTTAAACATCGTAAATTTGCCACGTTATGACATGTAATCTCTTTTTATATAAAAAGTACGAATCGAGTGCCGTCTATGGGAATTTTTTTTCTGCGAGTTTAGTGATGAGAAATGACGCTCGTCCCTACATCTTGGCGCAAAATGGTTGTAACGGACGATTAAGAGAGACAGCGGAGACATTGATTAAGGAGTTAACTTGAGCAGTCGAGCCGGGCTCTTTCGAATTAGGTTCACACGGAATTTCCGCATCTATGAATCGATGACCTATGTGTACTAAAATCCGAATTATCCACATGTGGTAGTAATCGAAATCGGCCGACCACGTGCGTCACGCGTAGGGAAAATGACGCGTCGAGAATCTCGTCAAATGCATCAGCGTCTAAATAGGGAGTTGGCGAGTTTCCATCATTGTTGAGAAAACTGACGAATCTAAATTATTGAACCGTTTTACGATGCGCGTTGATTGTCGGGGGATGGATGAAACGCCTGTTACGAGGACGGCTTCGGTCACGGATGATTCCTTAATATTCTTTTTCATGTAAATTTTCAAGCATTGTTCCGCTCCGCGCCCATATCGCACCTTTTCCGCGACAATGACATTTATACGGGTAATTGCAGGAGGAGGCATTACGGTGCGACAATACCGGAGCCAATAATAACGCGGTGTAAAATATTGGCAAGTTATCGGTGAAACGCATATCTCCACCTATTCACTACTTAGCACGAGTGTAAAGACATTTTCTGGGTTGCGTCGAGAATAATAAAGCATAATTTTACCGCCATGTCCCCATGCATACAGTACCATCTCGGTCAGATGTCTCGTCTGCTTTCAGCTCGGGAAGAAACTTACGTTCCACTACTTTGGATTTATTAGACAGTTCGACCAAACTCGAATTACCTCCGAGCCACTTTTCGGTTTAACGTCAAAATCAAGAGGAATCTCCATTTATAGTGAAAGACACTCAACGAGAAATCAAGGAATGCGGTAATTTGGATCCTATCTAATTTATAAGAAATTCAGTTAAAAAAAGCTCAACGGGAACGTAACCGTCCAATATCCGGAAATCTCGAAATACGTCTCCTGTGTTTAATAAAAAAAAAAAAAAAGAAAAAAAATTGAAAAGTAGCTCAAGGATGATAGACGTCTTGTCATCTGTAATGACACCCTGCAGTCGATTTAACGGCCCATTCGGAGTCATTTTGTTCCACGTTGCGATAAGCAATGAAAGTTAGCGAAACCAGAAGAATCAATAAACGCGGATGAGCGTGGAATCTTCGTTGCAGCTCATCGAACACGTACGCATATTCAAGCTCGATTCGAAAGTGTAATAAACACGAGTTGAAGTAGGCACGACAAAGTAAGTATCCGCATTAACGGAGGAGGGAACTCGTACGGAGATGCGAAATACGTCCGAAAGCCGCGTGTCCGCGTCGAATCGATTATCGAATTGAAAGTCACGTTAGAAGTAACCGATCGTAAAATGCTCCCCGGCGAAATTGAACGTCCTCGCCGCAGCTGCAAGCTCCTCGAAACGAGAGGAATGCGCGAGGAACACCGGCGGATGACAGAGGACTCCTTCAATCATTCCGAGGCGAATCGAAAGCGTGAAAAATAATCAATCCGACTTCGAGACTCCTCGGGTGAGAGGCCTCGAGGTGGCCTTGCTCTTATCGCGGCGGTATCCGAGCGAATTAGCATATGGGAACACGATAAAATTAGCTGCGGTGGGAGAGCAGATAATTAACGCCGTCTTCCGGTATTCGGTTTCGGGTACATTAAGAGGAACCAACGGTTGCCTTTATCGAACCCCTCGGTGACAAGAACCTCGTGTCTACAATTTATTTATTAATTAAGCAAATTTTATTAATTAGCTCCGAGCAGATTGCTCCTGCGCCACGAGACGTCGGAGTGGATTCGAGATATGGATCGGATCGATTGCGTTGGATTCCTTTAATTTCCTCCTAAATATGAATTTACTTAGTGTCGCTTCAAGTCGACGTGGATCGATAGGGTTAACGGAGCCAGTACCAAAAATGAAGTTCAAACGACTGCCCTACAAATACGGATGGATGACCCAGTAATGATGGGCCGGCAATTATCCGGTTCTTTCATTGATGGATGACTACCGGACCATTCCAGGCCACCCATGAGATGGTTAGGTGAATATTGTCACGTGAAACGACGAGGTCGTGGCCTCGTAACTGCGTTTATGTCATTTTAAAGAAATACAATAAACAACGGCTATGGCGAAGACTACACTACTTGTTAAAACTCGATTCATTGCTACCAATAACCGGCAAATTAATTACGACCTATTTACCCCATGTGAACTAAACGAAGGACGGATTTTTAGCGGCTCCGAATTGCGTCACGTTTGATAACCGTCAAGAGACAAATGTATCATTGTGTCATGCCACGCTTTAACACGAAGTACGAAAGACCTTGTCGATAGCGTATCTTAGCGGAACGTTTTGTTGATCTTGCAGAGGGAAATCGTCCGAACTTCGGAAAGTTTACCATCCAGACGATAAAAATAAAACTGGCGGATATGAAAGAAAAAATTAATAATATTTCGACATTTCGAATTTATTCCGTAAAAAATCCTTCCCCATCGATACCCTTCTCTTTAACTGCTTTACGCGCAATTTCGGGGACATTTATTGCGCGTAAAAAAAATATGACAACTTCGTTGGATATTCGAAGGTTTCGTTCAATTCGATTTTCATCGAGCACCGCCGCTTTGTGCCGCGTGGAAATAACCGCGAGACTTACCACAGCGATTGGAATGCCGGGCATGATTTATTGTTAGAATCCGTTCCAGAATTAACGAGTGGGCAGAGGGTTAATATTAGCGTACGAACGGTATGATTATTTATACTCGAGCGTATAATCTGAAAAAAACGTTCGGTTCAATCCCCCAAGACTTTTTCCGTTTAAAACACTCGCCTTTAGATCGCGGACAGCTACTTAGCGGGATTTCTTCGATATCGGTACAAATGTCGTATTTCACAAATGTATGCTCGAAAAGTGATATCGAAAGTCCCGAGTGATTAAAAAAATGCCCAGCGGCCCGATGCTATACTTCTCATATAAATTATCCCTTATCAAACCGTCCGTCCTTTCTACATTATGGAAATCAGTAGACTTTCAGGAGTTGCGATTAAACAAAGCCAAATAAGTGAATAACAGATTATAAGTACTTTCCATGGAATGAGTTACACGGTACGGGGACTTCGGTGGAGATACACCGATTTGCATGGATCTGCCCACTCTCTAACCCTTATCGGCATCAAATTGTCCAGATTGACGACAAGCTGATGTCTGAACTTCCCATCGATTGGTAAATAAAATGAATCGTAGGGCCGTAAAATGAATCTCCAGGACCGCCTAAGATAAACGATAATTGAGCCTCAAACGGCAATGAGGAGCAATAATTGAGGCGATTAACGGCGCAAACCGTCCCCTCCTGGTGCAGGGTGCAGGCTGAGTCACTTTCGGGTGCCTCCTACATTCCTTGGGGACGACGAAATGGATCTCAACGAGCCGAAGGTAGTCGATAAGCACAAAGGAATGCAGAAGGCGTTGACACGATTCGTAAAGTACCGATGGGGCCAAACGTTCCTCGCGTATCTCGCCTGCGAATCGATTGCGACACGTAAGGAGACGCTTGCAGACCGGCGAACCGTGTCAGAAAATGGCAGGGAATATTGCGCAACTTCCGGCTGGTTGGATCTCCTCGAGGGGATAAACGGGGATCTTGGAGGCTGGTTCGCCTCCTTTTTCGAAAGAAAAGTTCCTTCGAACGGCTCCACAGGGAATAACGACGGACCGCGACGTCCACGGCGCGCTAATTTCGTGCGAGCACGGATGCTCGGCCAGACCACCGAGATGTAATTTACCGTCATTAATAGAGTTGCATCAGTGGTGGCTCGTTTGAGCGTGATGCATCGCGAGGAGTGGTCCAGTAGATTGATCGGGGCGAAGACACATCCAAGAAGGCTTCGCTCGCTTCGCCTCCGTGTGTGGGGTGGACGCGCGTATACCCGGGTCGGGATTACTTATCGTGCCACTAAGGACGAGGTGAATGTTAAAAAATGGAACACTCGACTTATCGAACCGAATAGATTTTTATGCCCCCCCTAATTTTTCCGGAAATTTTTCTCGCATTTTTCATTACCCGTATTCCCGAGCGTCGCGATAACTGCATTTCCTTCCTTGAGAGGGGTGGAGTCGATTCCAATACACATTTTTGCTTAAAAAAATTCCGAGTGGGTGTATAAATGTTAGGAAGTATATTGTAAAAATCCCGAGATGGGGTATTTGCATGGTTCGTTAGAAAGAATTAATTCATTTATAAGGAAAAATCCAGCCGTCCCACGGTACGATTGCGTTAGGGGAGGTGGGTCGATTTTGCGTATTTTCCCGGGCCTTAAACAACGCGTTGATTTTTAAATCGGCCGGTGCAAGCCACGGAGTACACGCAGGTAATTTCCTTGACAAACGAGGTTTGCAGAAGGCCGATCGAAAAGAGACCAACGTGGGGAGAGACGGAAGTGAAACGCGTAAAAACGGGCACCGTGGGACTCGCCGGAGTTTCGCCTGCATGTGCAAGGTACGCGGCAGTAAATAAAGATGCATTTATCTCGGATAATAAACCGTGGGTCTACATAGTATTTAACAGAATTAGATTGGATCTCGCGTGGTTAATCATACGGCTCAAATAAAAGTCATAACTACCGGCCTATTACCGTCTTAATCTTCGCGTACGCGGGTCCGCGTAAACAAAGTTCCGCTCCGGGATAGAAAGTGACAGTGAAAATTCCCAGATCTGGAGCATTGATTTTTCGAGGGATCGAGTCAATCCTGACTACTCGTTAAGAAGGATTCCATCGGAGGATACTGCACGGCAATTTCATGCAAATCGACGTGATACCGCTAATGCGATAGCACACCCATTACTGTCACGTTTCTCTGTTTTTCTCGAGCGATTCCCTGCCAACCCGTTTTCAGGACCGTCAGGAAATTACGCCTGGACGAGAGACGTTTCTTCGTTCGACTCTGCGTACATACGCGTTTGCGAGAGACCCTGGTCTCTATCGTTCGACGAGGCACCACTCGAAACGTCCGAGTATCGTCTCGTCAAACGATAGAAACGTCCTCGTCGAAAACCGCTTCGGGACGTGGAATTCACTTTACGAGGCGACATTTTCATTTTTTTTGTTCCTCCCATAGTATCGCAAAAGGATAAAGAGCGCAATAACTTGTTCGCCCTACGACGCAACTTCTTCCCAGTTTCAGCAAAGTCGATGATAAATACTGCAAATTATGACGGGGCGTTCGATTAGATTATAAGGGATTCTCGAGAGTCATCCATTCGATTAGTCTGTTTTTATCGCTGTCATCGGGTCGTTAGCCGAGGCTAATACCGATTATGTGCTTCTCGTTATTAGTTGTCAGTGCACGTTATGCAGAAATGAATTTCCCGTTTAAGCCCTTATCGAGATCGAATTACACGTTCCAGGAGTAAATTTACTGATATTTAAGTAGCGAGCACAATCAACGGGATCACTTTATTACCCTCGTTGGGACGTTTAATTGATTCGAACCCAGTTGTTACAAATTAAATTAGGCTAATCAACTGTCATTGACAGTGATGCCGATATGTAGGGGCGGTTTAATGCGGACTTCCGTAGTCGACTTCGGTAGGACGGAGGTTCAACGTGTATTGGATGTTGAGGAAGGTCGGGTCTTTCTATCTCCAGGCTATAGTGCGATGTATTGGCAAGCTGGGTTCATAAAACGGTTCCGTCATTTTTTCAACCAAAGGTCTCGCCACTCCGGTTTGCCATGATTTAGGCGAGAGTAAATTTATCGATCGAATACAATTTATCGATTTCTTGTTTTTATCCTGTCGAGTAGGTCTACACCTGGAGGGCTTTTTTGACATTTTCCGGAGACTGTCGCTTTCGGCAGGTACGATGTAATTATTTTAACGGCTCTTATGGTTCCGAATTTCATGGTATGTTTATTTGTTTCTCGGTATTTGACATCCTTGTATCCGTTGATACGACGACGGTATTATCGATTTATGCACTTTGAAGAGTACATCCTATCCGGTCGAGTCCACTCAGCTGTTGGATATGGTACGCACCATTACGTCAGATGGCGCCGGATATTCGTTCCGTTTCCGAAAATGAAATTTCCTTTTATTATCGCAGCACTTTAAATCCCATAATTTTTCTCGTCAATTGAAGGAATTGTAAAAATATAATCATCGGATCGATGGAAATTATGACCGTCTGTTTTACCTCCGGGGATAATTTTACCACCTTATCGGCGGTGATACTTTCGCAACCCTTGTTCCGGTACGAAAGTACCAACGGAAGATGCGCATGTGAAAAATGTAATATTTTTTAACGAGGGTCATTTCGACCCGTAAAAAAAATTCCTATGAATATATTTTTTGACGGTATTAAAAAAGTTGACACACCTCTGAAAAATAATTCTTTCAACGAAGACCAAGATATTTGCACGCGACGTAGTTACCATTACTAAATTTCAAAAATTGTTTCTAATTAAAGATATTCGATTGAAGTGCGAAAATCGATGCACGATAGGTATCGATCGGAGCTTTTTTTCACGACCTTTGAATCCAACGTTTGAAATTCCCACGGATCGCTCACTTCAGTTTTTAGAGAATATAACCATAACCAAGAAGACACTATTACGAACCGATTAGAAATTCGTGATCGAATGCAAACGTTATTAAATCGGCATTCACGCAATGGGGCCTTGTATCAGTACACCGGATACAGTAGGGAATTCAATACCGCGAAATACATCTCTCGATGCAACATGCTTCAAAGATACGAAGGTTCCCATCATTTTCTTGATTGGAGGTCCCGGAGCAGGGAAAGGTGAATTTCGTATAATCAATTATCGAGAGGTTTTCTTAAAATCAAAGCTTGACCGTCACCTAACCGCATACATTCCAGAGATGTTAGTAATTGAACGAAGAAGCTGTAGTTTTTTTAATGACAATTGTTTTCAGCTAAACATTGCGCAAGATTGGCGTCAAAATATGGATTTACGCGAATCTCGGCGGGCAAATTAATTCGCGACGAGGTGACGGAAGGAACCGAGCGCAGCCGCATCATTGGGGATATCATCACGTGCGGAAAATTGATACCAGCGGACGTGATGCTGGAAATGATAAAAAGAAAGATGTTGGAAAACAGGGAAAGTCCGGGATTCGTGCTGGACGGTTACCCCCGACAAACGATTCAAGGTACCTCGTGACGTTGCTCATATATCCTGGAATTCTATTTTTTAGACCAGTCGCGCTAGGGGTTGGATAAATTTCCAGATCTAGGTTAAAAAAAAAAATACAGTGAGACTTCAATTCCGAACCCTTATCGGTTTCTTCTTGTTTGGTCCCTCTCCTTTTAAGGGAAAATGTTCGAGCAGGAGGTCGCCCCAGTGGATTTGGTGATCTACTTGGAAGTGAACGAGCGTATCCTGAAAGACAGACTATTGGGAAGGGCCGCGTCATCGGGAAGGATAGTCCAGGACATGGAAGCGGTGAAGGGTCGGATCCAGATATTCCGGAAGAATGCCCCAAAAGTCCTGAAATATTACAAGTCGAAATTGGTGACTATCAAGGCAGAGTTCGACGCGGAGGACATATTCGAGCAGATCTGCGAAGCGATCGACAAAATACCGGGAAAGACTATCCCAGGATCTTAGGGACTTCTCTTCGAACGACGTCAGATACCGAAAGCATGGAAAGCATCCTTTAGGGAGGGATTCTCATTTTCTACACAGAGCCGACCGCAATTCGTGGTCGCGATGCATATTTTAATGCCGCGTATTACCAGTATATTTTGCGATTATTGGAATAAACATAGATACGTAGAAAAAAAAATGTTTCCTCTTCCATGCCCTAGCCCCCAAGCCATCCCTCGATTTTCAGGTTCCTCTCGTACATCCTCCCGCCCCGAAAGGAATCTCCGTTGAGCCTCCTTTTTAACGAAACGCTCCGTCGGGGTCCTCGCAATCGAGTCGCATTATCCTCAGCCCCGTCCCCTCGGATAAGACTTCTTTCCTCGGAGCCGAGGAGTCCTCCCGGCCTCCTGGAAGTTTTACCGTCCCCCGTGTGTGGCGAACTGCCGACATCCACGGGGGTGCGCCCGTTGCGCAACCCCCGGGTCGTCGGCGGTTGAAAGGCTCCTCGGTGAGGGTGTGGAGTCGGTGACGAGCGAAAGAGCGTGTCAGATGGTAACGCTATTGGTGGACGGTAGCGTCAGAGCGTCGCGACGTCATTGGCGGTGCGCCGGACGCCGGGGCGTGGTCGCGCCCCGGGTAGGGGTGGCGTCGCTACCCCCGACACCGATTACGAGAAAACCGCAGGGTCGTCGACGGTAGGAATCCAGCATGGCGGACGCACCCCCGCGCCCCGTTCGCTCTCTCGCCAGGACCCAAGGCGGGGAATATCCCTCAGAAGTCGCGGAATCGCCCTCTGCGCACCTCCCTGCGCAGGCTCTACCCCTATCGCCGCGATCCTTCGACCGATGAGCCTCTGATCCGGACCGCTCCGGGAACCTATCGACCTCTCTATCGAAAGACTGCCATCGCTCGCATAAATTTAAATCGCCAAGGAAGTGCGGCAATTTCATCCGAAGCTCCTCGATGCAGGAAACGCATTAAGAAAGCACTTCCGACTCAAATTAACGGGGTCCAATCCCCGAGATGGGCGATAAACTCGGAGATCGATCCCCTTTAACATTGTCCTGCATCGTGAATGCCAAAGTCGATCCACGAATCGGAATCACCGGTCCCCGGTATTTGGCATTCGAGGCTCACGATTTTGAGGCGACTTTGTCGCGGATTACCGAATTATCGGCACCGCGCGAGTCAGGGAAAGGAGTGAGAAAGATACGCGAGGAGCGGCGGTAACGAGGCATTAATCGAAAAATGATAACCACCCTCCCCCCTGGGGAGTTCCTTGGCTCGCCCCTCTGGCGGTCGCCATTTGCTCGAGTCGCCGGTCCTTTCCCTGGTGGAGGAGCGTCGCGATGGTGGTATCCGGTCTCCGGTATCCGGTCCCGGTTCCGGTACCAATGACGATCCGCTGCCCCCTCCGGGCGGCTGGGTGCAGCCAACGATCAACAATTGCCGGGTACCGGCGATCCGGGGCTGTAATCGAGTGGGGGTCGAGGGCGGCAGGGGAGGTCGGGCGTCCCGCCACCCGTCGACTGGGGGTGCGCAGGCGCCGCGACGCTCGCCGGCGCCGCGTCAAACGTAGCGGCTATAGGTTAAATCCTCGTATCCGTTTTTGTTGTTTTTCCCGCGGTGCCTCCTGATCCCGCCTTCAAAAGTACCTCCGGACCAATCGCGGGTGCACCGAGACGCCGGCCCGTCGGGACGTCGCTGTCGCCGACGCTCAGGGCGCTCGCAGTCGGACCCCGTCGACGGACCCCGGTAACGGGACGGAGACGTGACCAACGACCCCCAGGCCGACGGGGATGACGCGTCTCCTCCGTCGGACTTGACGTCGGACCGTCGAAGTCTTCAGCCTCGTCTTCGGCCTCGACGTCTATCGCAGGGCCTAATCGTCGACGGAATCGCTCCGACGAATCGGTAAGTGACGCATTCCTCTCGTCGCGACGGAGCCGACGAGACGCGACGGCCGCGATTACTCGGAAAGTTCCCCGGGTTGCGCGAATCCGAGAGGAGGAAATTTTTTCGCGACAACGCGAAGAGTGCAGCGATTGGGTGTTCAAATTCGAGAATCGCGGGAGGGCGGAAACTGGACGGAGTTGATCTTGCAATCGAGACCCATTTTCCTAAATTTTCAAAAAAATCGCGAGTGAGTAGAAATCGAATTATTACAGGGTGCGCGGTGATTTTCTTTTTTGAGAAGTGAAATTTTAGGGAAATCTTGGATCTGTGCCGAATTTTGTCGAGTCTTAAACCTCGTCCAAGGGTATCATTTATGCCGATAAATAAACAATTAGGGTGACGTGACGTGCAACGTGGCGTAATTAATTTCTCGTAATCGACGCAACGTTTGTGACAAAAATAAAAAATTTTTTTAGTGCGCATCTAAATTGTTGTCTAATCGCGAAAATCCTATTGGAGGGCCGTAACGTCACCGTCGGATATAACAAACGCGATCTCCTATGACTATTTAGCAACATAAATTTATAAAAAGAAAATTGCAGAATAAATTATATTTCCGTTTAGTGTTGTGCTACTAAGCTGTCGTTTATGACAGGTGTAATGGCACGTCAAACGGAATGTTTGGACAACTAAAAAATTTAAATTTACGCCCCGAGACGTCAGGTGCGGCAACGGTATGATTTTTATTGTACTATTAATTTCAGGTGTGCGCCAAATTAACAACGTTCCGAGTGAACCATGAACGGTTCAGCGCCCGTCGACGCGACGGAGGAGCAACTGCATCATAAACATCAGCAACAACAAAATGAAACCCACTCGGAACATCCCCGAAGTCCCGTGAGCCCCATAAGTATCCGTCACGGTAAGCCTCAAACCGTCCCTCGAAACAATCCTTTTCCATAAAGTACAGCGGTACATCCACCCTCCCATATTTTTCATTCGAACAATTGCAACGCCCAATTTGACCGCAACGTGAAAATAAAAATCAAACTTGATCCCCAGAGACTTTATCAATCGATTACGTCGTGTTGAAAATTCCACCGAGTGGGCGTGGCCGTCAATAAATCCGTCTTGAACATCATCTAAAAAGTTCTTCCCATTAATGAGCCCTAAAATAAGTCCCAAGTTCTTTAAACATCCACCGATAGAACATTTCAGCCGGAATAAAAATCTTGAAAAATCATAAAAAAAAATCTTTCTGAAATTCCCACCAACCCGATAACGACCATAATTATGCATACATTTACAATATTTTCCCACAACACCCGATAGGATCGAATCAACCTGCCAAATTATTTAATCCGAAGAATTTCATAGGAAGGAGAAATTCGAATTCCCACCCCTCTCGAGGTCTTGAACCCTTTTTGGGGGTAATTTTCGCATCGCGTTCCCCTAGTGCGTGGTGATCGGACACTCTGACGGATTCAGCAGATCGTATCGACTCGCACTCCACCCCGAAGCGTGCAATTCTCCGTAGCGATTTATACCGAGGGTTTTCGTCGGTCCCGGGAACGACGTTACGCCATTAGAGTAATCAAATCCTTGTCGCCCGTGGGGCGGAATGCGGCGCAGGGTTAAACGAGAAAAAATTATGCATCCTCGTCCGTGTGCCAGTGGATATGGAGGCCGGCGCCGGGCAAGGGCGTCAAATTTCATTAGCATATCAATGCTGGTGGATGGCGCGGGTTTCAAGGCGCCACCTGCGCCCCGTATTACGGGATCATTGGGGGTTGGCGCGACGGCGTCCCGAGGAGGGGCGAGGCGCTATGAGAAATGGCAAAGGGGCCTCGTATTTTCGAGATTACGCGTTTCTCGCTCACGCCGGGTCAATTAATAATAAATTTAACCTAACTCGGGGCCTGCCGGATTAGGGGCTGCCCGAACGCGCGAGGATTACCCGCGATTCGGTTTCCTAGATGCGACCTCGATTACCATTCCGGATCGGTACTCGAACGAGCAACAAATTCGCAAAAAAGTGCATCACTTGAAACTACCCCTCGAGACATACTAAGAAAAATTCTGTATTTTCTCAATTATTGGGAAATGAAACCAATGGTACCGTCGATAAGAGAAGTGGCGATTCGATGCAGCAGGGATATGATAAGAGCCTCTCGGTCAAAGAACCGTGCACTCGATGGAATTCGATTACCGAACTAACGAGTTATCGCGGCTCGGTGTAACCAAATTCCGTCGCGTAATCCCCTTCGAGTTAACGCGATCCGGAGCCGATATCGGCCTGATTTCGATGTTAATGGCACTATGGTCGATAGACGGGGGCATTGAAATTTCAATGGAGTTTCGTCGAGCCTCGAGGCCGCGTCCGGGGCGAGCTAACTTTCAGTCGGAACGGATAAAGCGATAAACGCGATTCCGTCGAATTGGACTTTGGGGGAAAGCTTGACCGATAAGGTGCGACAGGGTGCCGAAGGTGATTCGATGGCGTCTGCCTTGATATCGCATTCGGCTCGAGACGTTTCGACCTCCGAAGAGCTTCCTCCCTCGAAAGGGTCCAACTTCCGAAGGGCGGTTCCTTACTTTTCTCCGCTGACACCTCCCCTCGAGAATGCGCCTTCTATACATATTAATGGCCCCTGACGCGTAACTCTCTACTTCCTGAGCTTTTTCCAAACTCATTTCGCGATGTAAATGCTGTTTGCCCAGGCGAACCTGCCGAAATCCTCGGTAAGCCCGGCTGCTAATGGAAAAAAAGATATTTCTTCGAATGTCTCGAGAGAGTCGAACGTAAAACCGATATTACTAGATGGTGGAGCGATGCTTAGATTGATAAGGGCGGTGCAATATTTATTACAGGGGGAAAATTTCTCGAACGGAATTTTGTTAGGAATTTTCCCAGGACGCCGAATGCTAGGAAATTGCTATAATTGCGGTATTCGAAAGAGAGGGATAATCGTATTCTCTCGATCACGGTAATTGTCAATCCCGTTGGATCGCACCGAGTTCCAGAAATCCTGGGATGTATGGAGGCAATCCATAATGTTTGCGCGACAAATGAATGCAATTAATTCGCAGGCCAGTGCGGTGGAGCTACCCCTGGGTTTAATAAATCAATGGAGTTCGGTGTTAAGGGTAGCTCCTCTTTACGCTTTCCTCCTCGGAAGGGGAGAGGATTGGTCAGCCCGTGGGTCGCATCTCATAGGCGGAAGAGATTTTTCGGATTAGCCGACAGGGAGCAATCCCGCAAAGCGGAAGCGAATTGCTTCGATAAATTGCATTTCGATCGCGATCGGAGAGCCCACACATGCGAGGATTTTCCGGCTTCGAACGCCTCCTCGGAAATATACCGGATTTATCCGCTATCTCGTTGTCCTTTATTTCGCTTCATTTTAATCGAGAAAATTAATCGGTTAAATTTAACCGTCCAAAATTAACCACTTTAGTAGACACCGTAACTGGGATTACTATAGCACCGCGTTACACTTTCTTTTTGCAGACTCCGGAGAGAGCAGCGTCATCTCCCCGGGACTACCGGAGCGTTACAGTCCGATCGGTGCACCAGGACCAACATCCAATCATGATCCTTATGCATCGAGATCGGTGCAAGAGTGTCCGGTACCTCTTTGTCGCGGACTACCGACAGATTTCCCCCTCGCGAGATCGCCATACCTCACCGCTCTCGGGAACGGTCATCCTCATCTCCTGGGACAGGTCCCGCAGCAACAGCAGCAACAGCCGCAGCCTCCGCAGCAGCAACAGCCCCAACACGGCAGCAAGTCCCCCCGAAGTCTCGGACTAATTTGCGTAGTCTGCGGCGACACCAGCTCGGGAAAGCACTACGGGATCTTGGCATGCAACGGCTGCAGCGGCTTCTTCAAAAGAAGCGTCCGCCGGAAGCTGATTTACAGGTGAGAACCTACGCTCCTTGCTCCGAAATTTCCCAACCTCCAGGATATGACGAAAAGCGGGGGACTTATCTAAATCGGGTTTAGTCGTCGGCGAAATTCATAAATTCATCGAATTGATACCTGACCTAGCGCGGTGAATGGGGGAACGAGAAAAACAGAGAAAGAGAGCAGGGTGCATTGGCGAGATGGCACGGACCAACCACCGTGGCGCCATGTGGTCCAAGTCGAGTAGGCTCATCCTAATACCACCAACAATGCGCCGGAATAATGCGAATCCGGCGAGCCTCGTGCACCCGGTAGGTGCACCGCGCCGATTCGATGCCAATGCTCCACGGCTCGTTGGAGGAACCATTCTCGTCCCTTGGGAATGACTATCCATCTCCATCGAATCCCTCTCAACCGGAATCGCTTTCTGCACCGATCGAGCCTTCGAGGGTGTGCGCGCTCGTCTAAGCGAATGGCAACCTGCATCGAGGATTTCGAGGAGATACGTGGTCGAGGACTCGATGGTGAAACCATCGACCCATCGAGTGGAAGCCTTTGAAAAATGATCGCGCTTTCTGGCTCGGCCTGAAAAAATCAGGCCTTTAAACGGCCCCTGGGGATAGGGAAGAGAAAATGGTCGGAGCATGGTCAGACGATCCTCCTTTCGCTAAGACCAGCTATTAATAAAACGGAAGTTCGAGTAGTTTGCAGTATTTTTTTTTTCCTCCACCGTGGAAACAGTTTTTGCAAATTTAACAATAGTGGTTCGCTTTGATCGGATATTTTTTTTTCCAAATTATGGACTTGAATATATTACTTGTACAGGGCGTTATTCGTCGTTGGATATTTCAATTTTCGGTCGTATCGAATTAGCCGTGCCTTTGAAATTCGGACTGGGAATCCGTGGGCATATTCATTTGTGGCGCGATATTGAATTTTGAATAAAACCCGATAATCGGGCTTGTAAATTACAACCGGCACGCCGACTGCATGGTATAATACGTCGGATAGAATTATCGAATGCGGGAATATCTATTTATTAACGTCATTTTAATTCTCGATTAATACAACCCTCGAAAAATGTGTATACGTGACTTGCGTACCGACTGCGCACGTAGGGTGTATCTTAAACCGATGCGTGCTCGGAGGAGATTTAAGCGAGGAAACGCGTTGTGATGCAAATTACAATCGTTTGAAAATCCTATCTAAATACCCATCTACGTAACGATAATAACATATATAATAATAACCGATCGAGGCATAACTCATGCCAGCCAAAGTGTTCCAAATGTGCGAAGAACGGACAAAAGTTTATCCGCGAGACTTATAAAACCCTGAAAAATCATCAAGGATCTTACCCTCGGAGGTTTGCAAGCCGGACCGTTTAGAAATTCCCTACCTATCGTTTAACAAAGGTCAATCGTTACGCAAATCCCCCAGAAGGGTGACTCGACGAGACGCGTTCTTTCATATCGAGGCGACTTTCATTTCCCGTAGGCATAAAAATAACTGAAAAGTGCTCTGACCGTATTTTCACCGCGTTTTACATCTCGGCATTGCGTCAACCTATCGATCCCCCTTAAACGCAATCGAAACCTTTCGGTGAGAGCATCGAAGAGCCATTCGCGATCGTCAACGAAAAGGATGGACAGAAATTCCCTTTGAAGTGAAAAAGAAATACGTATGACCGAAAGTAGCGGAGAAAAAGCGACTTTCATTTCTGAAACAACCGTTCCTTTACGGCCAAGTCCGCCGCTCGTCCCGTTTATACCTAACCGGGGTCCTTTTTAATATGCTGTATACCTTTTTAATCGCTCTAATCCAGCCAGGGAGGGTCGTATTTTTTTCCGAGCCCTTCGGGCCGGCATTTCGAGCGGCGGTCGTTTTGGACTTCCAATCCAGGCCGATCGCCGGTCGAGCTTTTTTCCGTTCTCGACGATCTATTCCTGTCAGATGGCTGTAATACGGTAAAGACTGAAGAGCCTTCGCACAGATAACCAATTACCGTCGGGGCGAGGGTTGATGGCTCGTCGCAGGGTCGAGGCGACAGATGCGTCCCGACGCGCCGCGCCGCGACGCGCGCCCACAATCGCAGGATTACGAACCGCGCCGCTCTTCCGCTCTTCTCCCCGATCCTACCGGGGATCGGTTAGATGCAATTATGCTCATCCGATGCCGATATGGCCGCTCGATAATTCCAATCGGTACTCTCGCGCGTATTCGGCTCGTATGACACTTTAACGACTAAATTACCGCGGCTTCGTTACGCGCTCCGAAACGCGGACGTCGCGGCGCGGCGTATGAGCACTTTCAAAATGTACGCGTCCGTTTCGAGTTACGTGGGATATATCGCCGGCACTTTGCCGAGGGGAAACGAAGTCGTTGGAGTAGGACCAAAGCGAGAGGAGAAATTACAAACGTGAAATTCGTGCCCGATCGGGATATCCAAGCCGGGTGCGTACCCCTTGTCAAAATGTCTCGGTAGATGCCGGTCTTCGGAAAAATTCCGACAATCGGCGCGAGAAGAACCACGATACTCTGGAATTCTCCCACGGAGGTCGGAATATTAAAGTCCAAATAATGAGGCGCGATAACCAGCGGCACATGCTTCCGGTTATATGGAGCGTAACTCGATAAAGCAAACAATGCCGGTCCGGGAAGAACGGAGAGATGCGTAAATAAATCTATGATGTGGTTCTGAAGGGTGAATGGAGGGTGAGCGGAGTCTGCAGTCTCCGGTGGGGTGTGAACGCAAATCAATTTGTGCGACCCCCGCCGGCACGCCACGCACCGACCCCGTCGTGCTCCTCGTTCACCGCCCCGGGACAAGATAGTCCTCTGTGAATCAGCCCTTTCCACCACTCGAACTCTTTCTTCTAACTGACGTCACTGGAAATCGCGCTAATGCCCTCCGGAGACCAATTGACCGCGAAAATGATCCCCGAGAAGAAAAAACCGCGAGTCCTTTTATCGACTGGGAGGAAAAGAGCGTCGACCACGAGGCTCTCCCCCTTAGAAAATTCCCCTGAAACGACTAATTTCAATCGCGGTCGTTTCATTCCGACAAAAATATCTCCGTCTTCGTTCTCGATCTTTGGCCCTGCGCGTTGCAATTTTCCGTCACGAAAATAAATTTATCCGGAAATTTCAAGCGCCAAGGGGGGTCCTCGGGATTATCCATTTTGCGGAGCCTAAGCTCCGTCGAAGTTTCGAATCGCTCCTGTCGGGATATGCCGAGATTAAGAGGATAAGGGCAAGGTACGTGACTTAAGGGCCTCCTCTTTGCGCCGCGCGCAAGGGATAACGGGGTTAGTCCAACAATGAAAGTAATCGAATTTAACGCCATCTCCCGAGCACTCCACTCGGATTTTCGACAAGTGCCGGAGGATTCGTCGTCGAGGGAGTCAAAGCGACGCCGGTGGCTTCGGCCCTCCACGGGGTCGGCGTAAAATCATATCGCTCGTCGACAAACGACGCAAGGATTCATTCTAGCCGAGTACCGATCACGATATGAGATACGTTACGGGTATTCTTTTTTTACAATTACAGGTGTCAAGCGGGCGACGGTAGATGCGTCGTCGACAAGGCCCATCGAAACCAGTGCCAAGCGTGTCGTCTGAGGAAATGCATGCAGAAGGGCATGAACAAAGACGGTAAGTAACGAACTAACGAACTGCCCTTGGAAATTAAATCCCGGAGACCCTAGGGCGCCTTCCCCGGCTGGATTTCCATTCATTCCGAACAGCATTTATCGGCGAAGAAACGCGAGACGGAGAGGCCCCGTCCGGGGAGACATCTTTGTCTCGTAGGAAGGAGTTACGGATCCCGCAATGTTATCCGTTTCCGCCGTAATACGCGAATCAATCAGAACCGGGGGCACTCGGCGATGGCCCTTTATGCTCGCGACATAAATAACTGGATAAGGGCACAAACGGCGAAGCGGATAAGCGAGGGTGGAAGCCATTGGGCCGCGTTCGATTCAACTCTTAATGCTTTTGCCGGCGAAACCGGGGGCGCACCTGGCACGCTCCTTTCTTTTACCCTCCCGCCGTTTCTCGTTTCGCGGGGCGCTAACTTTCTTATTGCCGAACTTGATTTCGCAATCGACGGATTGGATCCTTTCCCCTTTTCGAGACGGTAATTCGTGCCAGGAAGGACTCCTCGCGTTCCGGCTCCACCCTTCGCGTTTGCCCTCTTTGCCACACCGGGGCAGAAAACGATCCCGAAGTTCGAGACGAGGACGATCGATTGGTACCGATTCCTTCGCCCGACTCCCATAGCCACCCCTGGTACGAGAATTCCTCCCCGAAATGCGTCGTTCCCAGAAATGACGGGCAATTCAGGAGCGACGACTTTCAGACCGGGGAAAAACTGCAGGATCCGGAATACCGGGCAAAGTGGAGGGAGACCAGATAACCCGAGAAAATTTAACCCTTCGCGAAATCGAGAGATCGACCCAACTCTAGAGATTCCACCACCCTCCGCATTTCGCGGTTTTCCCGGCGGCCCTGTTGTTCCCCGTACAAAGGGCGGTAATAAACATCGTAAACGTCATCCGATGTGTTCGGGGAGACCGAGTTGACCCGCGGGATCGTTATCCGGTAACGATGGACCAGAAAGACGGTAAAGGACGACGCAGGGCGTCCACGTCTCGGTGGAGGTGCACGTGGTCCTTCGTGCGCTCGGTAAACACTGCGGTCGTTAGCGTCGGTCGCGTGGCCCGACGCCCGAAGGGTTAATTGGAGGAAATAAACGTATGCAGGGGCGGTGTACGCAGATATGCGTCTCGCCGCACTTTTGAGCCCATCGCGGATAGACCGCCCGCTGAGAGTCGTTTCATGCAAATGAGAGAGAAGAGGGCCGCCGGGACGTTTATCTCGTGGGCTCGTCGCGAGAGAAAAAGAGGTGGCGCCCGCAAAGGGCCCGCCGGACCCGCGGAACCCCATTACCGGACAAACTAAAGCGAACCGGCACGTTTTTATTATTACGAAATTATGCCGCGCGAGGACGCCGAGCTAGGTTTAAAGACCCGGAAAACCGGACCACTTTTGCCCAGCGACGCCGACCGGTGCACCAATTTGCCTCGCTTCTACCGTTGCTCGACTAATCCTGCCGATCGCTTTATGGGTCCATGGATCCGGAATCGTCGCTTTGAGTTACGAGGAAACTTGCACCCTTTCGACGGATCCCGCGATCCGACGCGACGCGAGACTCGTATCTTTCCCTGGCAGAGAATGGACGTAGGAAAAATCCTATTAAAAGAGGATAGAACAAAATTAAACGAACCACGGTAGAAACGGTTCGATCGGTCCACGTGTATGGGAACTAATTCGTTCACGTGCCCGTGGATTCATCGATCACGTCACTTTTGCCGTTGCCGCGTCCAGCTGATCGCTGCACGTGAAAAGGTAACTTAAGTCTCTCCCTTTGACCCTGCCTAATAATTCCTCGATCCGATTACTGGCCGCGATCGATAACGTTTGATCGCGGAAGATCCTTCCGATGCCCACGATGATAGGACCTTCGCCAGCAAACTGCTAAAATGTATTACCTTCCATTAACGACGCGCCTCCGCTGCTTAATTGGCACCGATTAATTGATACATTAATAAATTCTCTCGAACCTTGCGAACCTTATCAAACCGGGGAATTTGCATCGAACGAAACCGATGCGACCGAGCGATGCATTTTGCGTCATGTATTACCCCGAGGTGCATATATCACGGGGCCCCGCAACATATTTACGGTCTTCTATAAATACGCCCCGTCCGAACGGAAAAATGGTAACCGCTCGATTATCCTTTCCAGCCCATCTTCCGGTCCGTGTAAACGAATCTCGGGACGAGCATTAATTTTATGCCGGAAATCCGGCCGGCCGATCGGGGCGTCGACCAATTTCGCGAGAGACTTGGCCTCCACCCCGTGGAGCGAAATTAATCGGCCTCGATCGACGGAAAAATGACTCGCCCGCTTTCATGGGAGGTTACCTAACGTGGAAACAAACAATGCATCTGATTTCTGGACGTCCGTTAAATTCGTCCTGTCAGTCGCACGCGTTCCCGTGACGCAACCGCGTTACGTGAACTTGACGAAAGGGAGGCGGGCTCGATAGGTCCAGCTCCGATATTTTCGGCGATATCGTATTTATGCGAAGTCGACGCACCCAAGGACCCCGCCTCTTACGTCGAGAACAAATTCGAGTTATGGAACGGCCGCCCATTTATGTTCCCAGCGGTGCAGAATGAACGCCAACCCAGGAACACGGCGACCATAAGACCGGAAGCTCTCGTCGAGATGGACCAGGAAAGGGCGCTTCGCGAGGCCGCAGTGGCCGTTGGGGTCTTCGGGTAAGTTCGGAATCTAAATACTTTACATTCCCCTTATAAACATCAAAATCGACCATCGCTGGGAGCCCCCAAACTACCCCGACAACGATGGAAAAATAATCGTAAGTGCTCGTTACTCCCACCACCATGGTGGGGATGCACGTTTCGAGACTTTACAAATTGCTCTGAATTTTTTTTAACCGTCCCTACGGATGTAATAGGGGAAATTGATATAATGTAGACTAGAAAGAAGAGAGTCCCTTGCAACGCAAAATCTGGAGCATCTCGAGAGCAGACCAGACTTCGATTCGAGGGAATTCGGGGTGGGAAGCTTCGCGAGAAGACGCGAATATCCGCTATCGGGAAAAATCGATCGTCAACGGGAGCAAGAGGAGCACCGATAGAGGCTCGAACCAATCGACAGGAAGCTGAAGCAACAATGGAATCGATGGACCCGGAGCACCTGGGACAACGGAGGGGCAACTGCCGTTACCACGTTTGATCTTGGCAGCATTATCATCTTCAACATCGGGAGCCACCGGCGCGGCGAGCCCTTGCTCGCGGGTCCATCGTGAAAAATTACCTTTGACCAACGCCGCGAGACTCCGCGTAGCCGCTCGTCGAGCCGTGGCTAACCGGAAATCCATAGAGCGCCAAGGGGTGAACGTTAAAAGCGACGTAACCGATATCGGATGAACCGGTGGAAGCGCTAACGCAAGGCCATCTCGGCTGGCCATCTCGAGGACGTTTTTCCTTCGAAGGAAACGTCCCCGAGTCTCGTGAGGATCGAAAGCCCAAAAGGATCGAGAGATCGAATGGAGTCGCGTTAATAAATTCGAATAAAATATGTTCCGTTCTGCCAGTTTGAAGGCGTTCTCCCTTACAAAGTGAGAAGAGGTCTCTTTTATTGCTCGTATACAACGCGGCTAAGAAAAATGCTCGTATAAACAATTTCTCTCGAACGCACAGCGGCTGCGAAGAAGCTCGAGCGTGGGTCGGGGGATCTTTATCAAAGGGATCTCGGCCAGTAATATGGAGCACCCTTAAAAATAGTCTCGACGAGCCGAGTAGATTCGGAGGATTTGCAGATCGCGGTAAAGACCCTTGCCCCTTGACGACTGCAGATTTTTCCGTAATTTCCGACCACGTAACGCTCGAACTCCCGCACTGCGCCCATCTTGCGTTTCTCGTGCACTATAAACCGCGGATAGAAGTGGACCACTGAAAAACCATACGAAACCCCATGGCACCGAGACGTTAGCCCACGTGGAAGCCAAAGTCGAGAACCGAGTCGCCATTAATGATCCGGGAAAAAATGGCACGAGCTCGTTCGCCCGGTGACGAGGTTAACTTGATTTCATCCGGGGACGAGGGTCTCTCCAGGGTGGGCGAAACCACGTCGGGACTGTCTCCGATGTTTCTCTCGAGATGAACCGGAGCGATCGGTGGTAACACGGACCGGACGTTACACTCCGACTTGGCCAACTTCCTGGAGGACTCCAAAACAGCCGAATCTACGTCGTAGTCCGAAGAATAGAAGGCTCTCCTCAGGTTCTCCGACTTCGTCTTGCGAATCAGCAGGGCCACTCGCTTCCTCAGTCCAGCTCTTATGGAATCCTCTTCCGGTTCCTTGGTCCGCTCGTTTGGATTTCTGGTGACGCTGTCCAGCATCTCCAAGAGTCTGTCGAACGAGTTGCAGATCTCGTCCAAGGACTGCTGGCTGACCAACAGGAAGCCTCTGGTCTCTCTCTCCTTTTCCTTCAACGCGGTCTCCAGCTCCAGGAGGTTGTTCCTGGTGCTGCGCAGTTTCGCTTCCGCGAACTCTCTCCTGGACCTTTCCTCCTCCAGGAGAAGATCATTGCGCTTGATCTCTTCAAGAAGTTTGTCGTGCTTGGCCCGTGCTTCCACCAGCTGCCGAAGTATCTGCTCGATCTTTTCGTTGGTCTCCTCTTTCCCTTCTTCCCGCGCCCGCTCTTCACCTTTTTCCGCTCGACCACCGACTTCCACTTTGTCCGTCGTAGTCAAGTCCTCGACCGCGGACTCCTCGTTTTGGAGGTCCTCGCTGCTTCGAGGACCTTGCGGACAGATTTGGGACCGAAGATCCAGATGGAGAGAAGCCTTCCGCGGAACATCGCTTTTTAGGACCCCACCCTCCGAGTCCTTCTTTAAACCGGGAGGTAGCGGTGGCTTGGCTTTGAGACCCTTGATCGACCCCGACGTCGGCGGAATCCTGCGAACCTGCACTTCCTGAGAGGATCTCTTGCTCCGCGCAATGACCGCACTCCTGGGACGTTGAACGACCTCCTTGCCGACCTCTTTCTCCGGCTGTCCACTTCTAGGACCCGCCGACGAGGTCCTGCGATCCTTCTCGGCCAGATTCAGCCAGGAGTACTCCGACTTCCCCGGGCCGTGATTTGCCTCTAGCTTCCTCGTTATCCTTAAAACCGTCTGCTCCTCCAAGGAGTTCATCCTGACGTCCACGACGGAAAGCACGGCGTTGTCGTCCAGCATCCGGAGGATCTCATTCCCGATGACCTCGGTCAGCCCACAGTGCTGCAAGTCCAGCGCCTTCAGCCAAAGGCTGTTCCTAATGGCGTCGATGATCTCGTTCACCGCCGAGTCCCCCAGACGAGGGTTCCAATTCAGCGTCAATCGCCTCAACCCGGGCATGGCCTCCAGATTGGGCTCTCGATACCTCAAGGATTGCTTCCAGGTGTCGTGATACAGCGACAGCTCCTGTCTGGACAGGGCAGCGGCCAAGGCGGAGCCACTCTTTGCCGTCAGGTCGCACTGACTGAGATTCAGCGACCTCACGCTCTGCGCGTCGGCCACCGTGCGGCAGATCAGCTGACATCCGTCGTCGCCTATGTGACACCTCTGCAGTGAAAGATGTCGGAGGCTGCTGGTGGCGGAGAGACCCATGCACAGCACGGCCACGCAGTCTATGGGCAAGGGGATGCCTTCCAGCTCCAGATACGTCAAGGACGTCGAATTTCGGACGCACTGGGCCACGCTGTGCGACAACCACTCCAGGAGGAAGCGGGTCATCGCCGCAGGGGCCTTGCCCGCCGCGCGGGCTTTCCGCTCGGAATCGACGTCCTCGATCAGCTGACGATACTGGTATCTGCTGCGAATACTGATGGACTCTAGGGTGCTGTCCAGCGACAGGGCGTTCAGGATCGGCGCCCAGTCGTCCATCTTGACCCTGTCCGTCGCGAAGTCCAGACTGCGGGGCAACGTGACGCAGATGACCGGAAGTGGACGCGAGTGCTGCTTCTTGCAGAGTTCCATGTAACTCGCGGCGAAGCTCTGGCTGCCGGGGACGACCATCCGAGTCGTCGGCCGGTACCTGACGTCGCGACGCGTCGGGACGAGCGGTCGACGAGGTCGCGACGTGGACTCGCGATCGACGGTCGTCATCGCTTCGGATCGGCTGACGGCGAGCTTCGAGCAAGACGTTCCCGCGCATGGATTTCCACCAAGGATGGGACTTCCGCGACACGCGACTCGCTCTTCCCTGGTCGACTCTTCATAAGTTTTTAGAGAATACCCTCTCTGGCCTTAATCGAGGCATCAAATCGCGCCGTTGACAGCTAGCCGCCCAAACAAAATCCACGGAACTCCCAGAAGTTGGCGGTCGGTCCTCGCGAGATATCGGGTAGGAATCTTTATCGCGAGGATGGCGATCGGTCGAACTCGAAGGAGGCCTTCGAGTCGGGGATTGTGCCAGGCGTACCGGAGGAATTAAGAGCAAAAAGTAGATCGATATCTCTGAAGCGTGAATGAACTTTCGAGAGGAACGCGCGTCGCGGCTTCGGGTATCGAAACGCCCGCCACCCCCCGTCCAACCCTCCTTGTCGCATGAATGAAACGTTAATTTAATATAATACCGTCCACCTTGCGGAGATCGATCGGCTCGCTTGCGTCAGCCCGTTGACGCGAAGTGACGCGTTTGTATACTTTTTCCATTATAAATCTCCTCCGTCGATTTTCCTCCAAGCTCCCCACCGATAATCCTCGGGACACCGACGAAATTCCCAGGCATCGAAGACAATATTTAGGATTTCGAAATTAATTTCTGTGCAGCCCGCCCGTTTCTCTGGCGATGGCAAGATACACCACGCCGTTGCCGTTGCCATCCGTCGCTCCGACGCCCAACTCGGCTTCCGCGGCGACGCCACCCCGTCAAGACGTCGACGATGGTGCGTGTACAGATTTTCCGGCATTTTCTCCGTTCCGAAGCTCCCTATTTTTTCATTCCTAAGCTAACCGAAGGACGCGCGGTTCTCTTTGCACAGGGAACGCGTCCGAAGACAGCATAGACGTGACCAACGAGGAACCGTTGACCCCCCAAAGAAGCGGATGCAACCAATTGCCGCCGGTCCTTCCGTCTTTGTATTCCCCGGCCAGTGCCGAGACGGTGTACGAGACAAGTGCGCGATTGCTCTTCATGGCAGTGAAATGGGCGAAGAATCTGCCCTCTTTCGCCAGCCTGCCCTTCCGGGACCAGGTCATCTTGCTGGAGGAGGCATGGTCCGAGCTGTTCCTCCTGAACGCGGTGCAATGGTGCTTCCCTTTGGAATCATCGCCACTTTTCAGCGCCGCCGAGCTGACCGCGCTCACCCTCTCCCCGCAGCAGCATCCGCACCCTGGGATGCACCACCCCGTGGTCGGGAAACCGAATCAGGTGGCTGCTGACGTCAGGCACCTTCACGACACTCTTCAGAGATACAAAGCCGTCATGGTCGACCCCGCAGAGTTCGCCTGCATGAAGGCCATCGTGCTCTTCCGGCCTGGTAAGCACGTGGGCTATTCCCTACGCACGCGGGAGAAGCTGCCTTTGACCCCGCTTAGAAAGAACACCGCGATGTGGTATTAACGATGAAAAGTGGGGTATTACGTGCGTATCATAAATCGGTACGATGATACCGATGACGCGAGCGTGACTTTAGCGAATGATATTGAACGCCGAAAGGAATCTCTCTTGGACTGGTAACTCGGGGGTGGCTTACCCTTCAGAGGATGAACAGTGCGTACTCTTAGTACACCGTTTATAACGATCGAAGGTACTCCAGTTTCAACGGAAGATACTCCTCCGTGAGATTTGGATTCGAGACTCGTTACAGGAATCGATTCGCTCCCGGGGAAGTTTTCAGGAGGCGAGCATCTGCTCCTTGTTAGGGAGCGGCATAATTAATTGTAAAAGGGTTCGAACGGGCAGGGAAGAGACTGCCATCGTTTCTCGCCTTCAAGTTTTTCTTTGTGTGCACAGAAACACGCGGACTGAAGGACTCCAGTCAGATAGAGAACCTGCAGGACCAGGCCCAGGTGATGCTGGGACAGCACGCGAGGACGCAGCATCCTGGCAGCCCTGCCAGATTCGGCCGACTGTTGCTGTTGCTTCCGTTGCTGAGAACCGTGCCCGCGTCAAGGGTGGAGTTGATCTATTTTCACAGGACTATCGGCAACGCTCCTATGGAAAAGGTTCTATGCGACATGTACAAGAATTAATCGGCTCTTCCGGAAGAACTACGTCGACGCTTCGATCGATCGACCCGCGAAATTCGGATCGATCGATATCGGAGTCCCGCGATCGAGGCCGACACCCGGGTGGGTGATAATGGAAGAGATAACGAGTTCTAGCCCAGTAAAGTACACTTTCTTCATTTTTGCGAGAAAGCACGTATATATATATATCTACACCGCGACCGCCGTTCCCTCGAGTAGCCGGGGACGGAGAACCGCGAATCGTCTTCAGGATCATTCCCACCCTGACGAAAATGCCCATGTAAATTTACATACATTTTTACATACCCCATATACGAAGGTTTGCATAGAAAAACCTGAATTAGATGGGGCATTACGTTATAAGTTTCTGTAACTTAACTTAAATGCCGAGGCGACGTAATTTTATTGCCATTTATCGTGGGATTGAAATAACCAATGATTATGGAAAATTTACATGGGCATTTTTATCAGTTTAAGGGAATGCGAGGAATCACGCTTTCGCTCTCGTTGTCCGGAGAGTTTTGACTAGTCGATGACTACCGATCGGGATGTCTTTTCGTTTCTGGTCCTCGAAATCCCGATCGGTGATTTCAACGCTCGGTGACTAGGACCTCCACCTCGGTTTCCTTCGAGCACCAGTGTACGATATGATTGTATTCAAGTTCTGATCTTTCGAGCACAACTCACGTACTTTTTAAGTATTAAACGAATGGCATCTAACTGACCAGAAACGATCTACCTATCGAAGATATCGTTAAGCTCGTCGTATTTATTTACCGTGTAAGAATCTAGTGGACGTTAGTTCTCGACGTATTGACGAATATTTCGAGTACAGGGTGATCGGAGTCTCGTCGGCGTGTTTTCGCTCGTAATAATTGAATTCCGACCGACGGATTCGTCTCGGTAAAAATTCCTTGTCAACACCACTCCCCGATAGGTACTTCTATATGATCTCTGATCACCCTGCACACTTCGTGTTGTGATACCGTTATATATCGTAAGAATCGTATGTACCTCCTCGGTAAATACATCCTGTAACTATTGCGTCTATCCTCGTAATAAAATCCACGTACGACAATTTCGTTGTCATTTCCTGGCTGCGGAAAACCACCGATTCGGATTTCGTCGGAAAACTTGGCCCGCTATGGCGGTCTAAACGCTCGAACTGGGACCCCTTGTTTAGTTGTTTGTTTTCCCGTAAAATCAAAGGTTTCACGCGTGCCCCCGTAATAATATGCCCGCCGAATCCGATGGTATCTCCCCTGTATAAACGTACATATTTATTTATCGCCGTGTAATCCCTGACTTCCCCTAGGGGGTTGCCACATGGCAGTTTGACGGTCCCTGCGGTACCCTCGGCGCTTATAAATTACACCGAGTTGAGCGAGGTTTAAGGGGCTGCTTAAGTTGTCAAAGTCGCCGGGGAGTTAAACGGTAAAATAAGGGCAGGACATTAATGCCTTTTCAATTACAACGCCTCGAGAAAGCTCGCTTTTACCGGGGGGCTGCGCCATCGATGCCACGAAGCAAAGAGACGCGAAGACTTCCGCCTACGCCTTGCGGGAAGAATTCAGGAATTGCTCGATTTTCGAAAAGCAAACAAAAATAAATATCGGCAATCGTCGAACTATGCAAAAAACCCCATCGAGCAGGATTTTCGTTAAACCGAGTAGACGTACTCCAACCCCCGGGGCTAGCCTGGAGCTTCCCATCGCGAAACTTCCTGGGGGAGAAATTGGCCAACGCGAATAATACGAAAGTCTCGAGTAGGAGCGAGCTTTCGATCAATTAAAACTTCCGCATCGATAATTTACCGGAAGCACGCCGTGACTTGGCGCCGATTGACGCAATTAAGCCTCCGGGAACGATCGGCAAAATCTCGCGACTCGGCCGCGTTAATGGCGACCCGTCTGGCCATTTTTTGCGCAGCTCGAAACAGTCTCGACAGTCGCGAAAGTCACGGGGAACACGCGACAAATATCGATGCTGCAGAGGGTGGCGGGTGGGTGGCGGGNCGGTCGTCGACGGTGGAGGGGTGCCCGGAGTATCGACTCGCTTTTGCGGGACGAGGGCGGAGTTTTCGACCTCCCCTTCGACCCCCTAAGGTACCGCCACCCCTCGAATCCTTCCGGAGTGTCCCCTACCGGCAACAAAACTCCCGCTGAAGGGTGACCCAGCAATGGCGGCGGGACTTGTTGTATTTCGCTTTCGAGGTAAGCTCCATTCCCTTCTACCTTCTCAATTCTCGCCCCTTGAGAGAGGGAGAGGAACCGACGAGGGAGGACAGCAAGGAGAAAAGGCCGGAGAGAGACGGACGTTGCCAGGGCGCGTCGGAGGGAGCGAGAGAGGCCATACCGCGGGGAGGTAGCCTCCATTTATTTTATTACATTATCATACCAACTAGGCGCTCGATAAGTGGGGCTTTAAAGCGAAGGTTCTCAAACCGTTTAAGAAGACCCCGGCGGATTAAAATATCAACCAAGCCGCACTTTTCGCGCCTTGAGATGGAGATATTTATATTTCTCGACACCTAGGAATAAGATTTGCAAAGACTGGAAGACCGTCCCCGATGCCGGAGGGAAAATCGAAACGTTTTCCAAGACTGGACTAAGCTGGCTCCTTTCTTTCAAGTTCTATCAATGAAACGCCCACGCTCCGGCAGGTGACTGGCTCGGTACAAAAATAATGACGCGTCGTCCTTGTTGCCTTATGTGATATTTTCCGTAACCGGCTTCAGCCGATAACCCGTCGATGCGTTATTTATGCGTGTCGGTAAGAGTACGGACCGCGTCACGCGGATGGAAAACGACCTTAAATCGATCCCAGTCTTCGAGGGGATAAAACGCCGTTTTTCTACCCAAAGGAACGCCACTTGATCGGGGGGGACATGATTAATATTTCGGACCAGTCCATTCGGGATAACCCTCGAGGCGATTCCGGAAATCCGCGGAAATTTTTCATCGGACCTTAGGTCGGAGTTCTCCGGAATATCCACAGGGTAGCTGACGTTTAAGAAATCGCGTTCTCTCCTCACGTCCTCGGAGATTACTCGACCGTTCGCCTTGGACGAGGAGAGGGCGACTACTTCATCTCGAATATATACAAACACGGACAAATCTATCCCCTTTGACTTTCCTGCCATTTCCGCCATTTTATTCTCATCCAGGGAAATCGGTGGATTTGCGAGAGGAGGAGAGTGAATTTCGATCCCTTGACCTTGTCCACGTTCTTTTTCCTCTCCACAATATCGTTAAGCTTCAAAGGAGCGATCCAATGTTAAAAAGAAAAGTTTATAAATTTCATGCAAAACGCTCCAAAACTGTCCGGACAATCTTTACCAGTTCCACGTGTCCTACCTTTACGCGTCCCTCTCGGGAGGGAAATCTGGATTTTGCATACGAGGCGGTTTTTTTTTTTCTCGAAAATACCAAACCCTTTTTACGTCGAGCCACCTCGAAGGAAGTAATTTTTGCACGAAGTGGGCGAGTTTCCTGGGGCTTGGATGAAAACATGGTCGCCCTTTACGTCGAGCCATCTCCGAGGCGGAGATCCATCTCCATCCGCGTGGCGAGCCGTGGAGGATGAACCTGCACCGGTCAGGACAGTCTGTCGACCACCTTCGTCCCCACGCGCTTTCTCCCTCTTTCTCCCTCATCCGCATCCTCCCTCTTTCCAAAAATCAATAGATACCCTGACTACCGGCACCGCGGTTACCCCGCAACATTACTTTTATAACAACAACGAACTAACGCCAGCGGACGTTTCATCCCTCGGGAGATGGGCCGAGTGCATCCCGTTTCGGGTCCGGAAATTCCTTCGTTTCCTAAAATTGAATAAGGCAGAATTACGTACTGTACGATGCAGTTGTCGGGTAATATGAAAATTAACGCTCATCTTCGATTTCACCAATGCAGAAGTAATTCCAGAAAGTGCGCCGCTTATGTTGAGATTTCATGGATGTAATGTACCGAATACTTTGGGCTCGTTCCTTCCTTCCTGTAAATCCGATGGATTCAATTTGTGCTTAAACAAAGAGCATCTTCGCATAACGTAGCCTTCCGTGAAAGCCGCCGAGTCAAAGGGACTGCGGAGTCTTTTTAGGGGTTGCAGAGGAGGGCGAAGGGTGGAATACTTAAAGATAGCTTCAAAGACTCGATACCGAGGACTCACCACTACGGATGTTGCGAGGAGCGACCAGTTTTCTTCTATTAACATTGGACCTTTAAACGTTTCGTCAATTTAGAGAAACGACAGTGATTTATACACAATTATTTCATATCTCTGGGAGATTTTAATCTTTCACTTATTGGAGTAATGATTTCGATTGAAATTGTATCCAAGTCCCGTTTTCATAAAAGATGGTCAAGGTGGATACAATTAGAAAAAATGATAATGAATTTGAAAGAATAGTTTCCACGTCGGAGTGCTGGAATTCCCGGCTAATAAATGTCAGAACACTAAATTTACACCTGACAAATGGCCGATTGGTGAAAACTACGAATGATAGAAAATTATTGCAAAATGGTGTTCACTCGTGTATTACGTTTTGTTACCGTTGTATTAAATCATTGATTAATTCTCTAGCCGTGGGGCGGCGCCACATTAATATTCCGCAATAGATAATACTGCCATCTCTCGAGAATTGTTTCAACTATATTTAGAATTCAAGAGAGAACGCAATTTCAAATAGCATTGTAAGGAGCAAATGCTCCTATGGGCAACCTGTTACCGAAGGAAAAGGATAAATATAGATGAGTTGGGGAGTTGGGCCGCCACTAGTGGGTATATCAAGTGGGAAGTGTGCGAGTCGCCTGCATTCTCCACCGAGGACAGCATAGGATACGATCGCGCGACCCAGCCCGTGAGTGATCTCCCAACTTATCTCTATTTGAAACAGGATTGTAATTTCTCTGGTGCAACGTATTCAAACCTGTTACGGAAGGGAATGGATTAATTGCATTGCATGTTTATCCAATGTTTAGACAAACTGTCTATTTAATACCAGACTCTCTTGTAGGGTATTTCTTGGAGTAAAACATAACCTCAAGAAAGAATGGTGAATGACTTGAAGTACAAATGCTCATTCTCCACTTGGTATCCTCAATTTGTTAAGAACTCCTTGGAAGCTGTTGTTCTTCCTATTCCAGAGGATGTATCGAAATACTTGGAAGAAGATGCATTTTTGTTACCAGTCGAGGCAACGTCTAATGTCTCTGGTGTTTCAGAATGGGCCGATGGTTCCCCTGTCGAGGGAGACTCATCGGAGGTATGATTACATTGCAATTAGTACCTTAGAATTTCAAGCATGGTGACGAATCGTCAATAAAATTATTTTTCTCTTAGGATTCAGAATGTCAGCCAACATTCCCTACATTCAGTAGAAAAATACAGGATGTAATCAATGATTTCGGTGCTGTTTTTGTAAAGTCAAATTGGCGAACACCATCTGTGAGTAGTCTCATTTGTTATACAGATTTTGAGTTTTTGAATATTTAGATTCGATTCATAAGTACATTTAACAATTTTAAGGATGCAATGTGGGTTGCTCCAACAAAAACCCTAAAATGCGAAACATTGGAAGAAGTATATTTGCTTTTAAAAAGCTCTGATCGAATTTCTGAAGATCTAGATGTACTAAAAAATTGTACGGACAATAAACAATCTCTTCAAACATGTTTAGTCTTGAAGAGGTGGCGCGACATTAATCCTTCTACGGAATTTCGCTGTTTCGTTGTGAAAAATGAACTTATTGGTAAATATATCGTACAGGGAGAATTTAATCTAATACATTTAATTCAGTGCTAATGTCAAGTATTTCAATTTTTTCGTAGGAATATGCCAAAGAGATGTATCACAGTATTATAAACACATGGAATTAGAAAAGTATGATATTCAAAGAGACATTAACACTTTGTTTTTGGAACATGTTAAGGATAGATTTGGTTTAACAAATTGTATGTATTCAAGGGAGACTTAACTATAATATTGGATGTAGACTTTTCTGATTATTTATGCTACCTATAGATTCTTTCGATGTGATTCGTTACAAGAAAGATAAAGTGAAAATAGTGGATTTTGGACCACTAGATGAATCTGTCACAAAAGGTACGCTATTTACCTATGAGGAGCTCAAAGCGCATTCATGTGATGCACCAGAATTTAGGTTCATTGCTGAAGACATGGGAATTCAACCAAATAATACCCGTCATTACTGTGTACCACAAGAAATTAACGAGTTTTTTCGTTCAGCCAGTGAAATGTCTATGATGGATATGATTCGCAATGTATGCTTATGTTTTGTCATATTCACCACATGGTTTCTCCGAAATATAACTTTGTGAAATAATTGTTTCTCATATTAAATGATTTTTTTCAGGAAGTAGAAAATCAAGATCAAGAATGTCAAGAGGCGTCCGAAACATAAAAGTTTGTGAATACAAAAGATTCCTGTGTTTCTATCTTCAGTTTCAATTTATAGTACCATGACGTACAATTGCATTGTATTCGTAAGAGTACTAAAAATTTGCAGGTAATACTTTTTCCGTTTAGTAGAAATATTCGCAATTTCGTTCAAGTCAAAAGGATCGGATATGAAAACTGGAGGTAAAGCATTGATATGAAAGTTGTTTTAATCAAATAAAATTATGACATCGATATCGTGGGTTCTTAATAATATTAATAACTATATATATACTTTTCTCTTTATCTCAGGGACCTAATAATATTATTTATAGCATTTATAATTGATATCTTACTGGAGCGAGAAACAACTGTACGCCTTTATTAATTGGCTGTAGGCTCGTAGAGAAATATACTCTTACTCGTACAAAGTGTACAAAATGATCAACCCAATGACTATAACAATTAGAGAACCTAAATAAGGAACAGTATACTAAAGGCCAATCTTATCGCTTTTCGGGTGAAATTTAAATTCAGCCTTGAACTCAAAATTAATCGATTTATGTAATGAACAAATTTCGCAATTGCTTCAAGTATAGTTTAAGATTGCCTTCAGTTTTAAGTGAAATGGTGCCACTAACTTATGGAGTTCTACTGTAAATACAGTTTCTTAATTTCACAAATATAGAATAACACAAACCCCTATTATGCAAGTATTAAGAGTTACGTTAAAAGTCTGTTGCACCATTTCCAGTTTAAATTTGAGCTGAAATTGTGTTTACAAATAGTAAGCACGGTATGCTCCCGGTAATTAGGCAAAGTAAAACGTAAATTTCCAACACGGCACAATTCTGCCAGACACATCCTCCATATGGATATCTTACAAATGTGTGCTTCCTGACATTAACTTAAACGTCTGATACTGCTATAAAAATATCACATTGCAAAAGTCCATGAAATTAATTTTTTTATCAATCACAATTTTGTTAATATATCTCTTATGGAATGTATATATATGCTACGTACGTAGAGAACATCAGGAATATTTGAAACTTCATAAATCATAGATGTACTTTATCTACATGATTATGATAAGCGTTCAAATGTATGTTCAGTCGCTACAATCTTTTTAACAAAATTACATATATCCTGCATAGTATTCCATGGACATAGATATTTTATATAAGTATGTAGACTCCTACATACAATGGGTAACATTTTGTCATACGTGTTTTACTCAAATTTAAAAATATGTTGTGCCGTGTTGATAACCGCATCGAAAGATTTACGTTAATCTTATTTCCTCCAAAATATCTTAACAAACGTTGGGTGTAATTCGACATTAACATCGTATCCTTATTACGAAACGAAGTCCTCGAGGAACTTCTTCAAATTTTGAGATTCTTCTCCGAAACTGCCGATCACTTCGAAAATACCCTTCATTTAGCCTGACCTTCTTTTCGTGGAAAGTAATCATTGTTACACTTACGTCTACTTACGTACATTATGTTAACTGTCCTCCACAATATTTGTACATACAATAATGTTTACATCTATGTACACATTAGATTACTTCGTGTTGCTTGCATTGCTCACGAGATATGGAAAAAGTATAAGCAAAAACATCTTTCACGTTTAGCAACAATGAATTCTTTGCCACTAGCTCTCGAATGAATAGAAAAAGAATTATTTTACGTATTTAAATAACTTTTTACGCGGATGGATTTGTCGTCAGGCAATTTTGCAGAAATAGAGGATTTTCGATCCACTCCCTTGGCGCAAGTATTGCAAACAACACGAACCGATCCGTTTATATGAACATCAAGGTGGCGTTCCAAAATTATTATTCAACACTAGCCGCCTCGTTTTGTCTCTACGTGTCACTTTTCATTAATTTTACGAAGACGTAACGATGCTCTCTGTGCTGACAGCAGATTTCGGAACACGCCTCGAGTTTTCTTCTGTCACTCATTGTTCTCGCTTACATGTTAACCGTGATACGTTAACGGAGATACAAAACCGTATTTTCTCGGTCTTTGATTTCGAACCGTATTAATTCCCCTTTAGTATAATTTTTCAGTCAAAATCAAAAGTAATAAGCAGCGAACTCCAACTGCTTATCGGTTGGACTAGTATCTTCAATCAGGTTGACAATGAATTTTAGATTGAAAAATTAGACTCTATACGACAGAATGTTAAACGAAAAAGCGGCCGCATTTAAGAAAAAGGCTCATTCCTCTCAAATATGAAAAATCTACTGAATGTCATGCGTGAATTTAACTACATCGTTCTAAAGAGCTGTTGCATAGATGGATGTCAAGATCGTAGATCTCGTTATCACTGCCACTATCATTCGACTTGTAGAATCTAGCAGAATCAAACATGATATTCTGTTCCTTGGGGGATGTTCTAAAAATCACTCAATTTAACACGAGCCATCGATTATCCGTTAGAGATACATCATTCACTAGATTGCGCAGAGAAATGAAAGGATTTAAAAAGATGACAGAAAAAGAGTAGCACTTGTAAAGGGCACGAAAGTGAAATGAAGGAAGTGTCAGTTTTCAAACGAAGCATTTAGTGGGGATAATTTCGGAGCAATCTAATTAAAAATTAATAATACGAAACTGACGATTAGGATTTGCCCTGCATCGATTTTGCCGTAGTAAAAAAAAAAATAGAGAGCCATCGTTCGTCTTTTATCCTGTATAAATTCTTCTCTCTGAATTAATCTGTCGTCTAATATGTTGGAACGCAACCAATGTCACAAACGGCAATGCGGTTCCATGGATGTTTACGGTAGAAAAAATTTAACGGATGACATCGTCAACTTCTTAGCAACCGCGTGCTGCATCAAGAAAAAGAAGTTCATTTACCGATGGTACAAGAATACATCATCTGAAGTATTAATTTGAGACGTTAACTACTCAGCGTCGTCAGATAGTACTATAATCGTGCTTCAGTCATTTGCAAAAATTGCACATTGCGACGACAAAGGGTCGTGTAATTTTTCTAGATTTAGAATTCTCCACAATTCCTTCTTACAAGAGCTTGTGCATACATTTTCCTTAATATAATTTACTCCACGGGAATCGGTACGGATATCGTATGTAATTAACAAGTTACGTATAATACACAACAAATTACGCCTCGGCCTTTAAATGCTTCCCGATTTAAAAGTTCACGAGTTGGCATGGAAATGTCTTAATCACCGTAGAGACCTTGTATTCTTTCTTCCCCTGATAACACGGACAGAACGGTAAAAAAATATGCGATAGAATAAATAGATTGGAAAATAAAAAGTATCGTTTTCAGAACCATCGAGAGACATAGAGACGCTGGGGTGGAGAGATTAGCAATCACGAATTAAAACGCGCGGCTTTTGTATTTTTTTTAAATACAGAACTTTCATTTTTATTCTGCCAGACCCTCTTTTTTGTTCTCTATCGTTACATTACATAAAACGATTAAACGCTATCCTATCGTTTGAAAGAATTATATCATAATATTGCAATATTTCGTCGGGTCGTCGAGCTTCGCAGCGCAACGTCCCTCATATAGAAAATATGTCTTGTTTATATGTACAATATGCAATCCTTAATACATCCGCATGAAAAAGGATTCTCGATATATGTATTTTCGGACAAGTGTTCGTTAAATAAGCTGTACAGTCATATCCATGGAGTATTTTTCTTTGTTTCTTCATCGGCCAACTCGCCCTGTAATATAGGATATTTATCTTTGCTATTTCTTGCATAATTTTTCCCACTCTATTTCCTTCGCTTTTTCTAATCCACGACGGTGTCCGTTCCGTTGTTAAAAAAAAACTGTTTACATATAATACGAAATAATACACGTCGTCTACAGGGAATTGCAAATTCGCCGTAAAAACCCTTGCATGGTTGTGACGGATGTATCAATACTTTGTATCAAAATTTAATAACGATCATACGAAGTGTCGAACAAATAAAGATAACAAAGTGAAATTTTCTGTAAACGATAAAACGTAAAAAGTTACAAGTGGCTCTTATCTTGTGTCCTGCTAAACACAAATGATAATATTCCTACGAGAACAAGGATGAAAGCCTTTCAATGTAATCGCTGCATATTAATTGTAATATACGTAAACATTTTTTTAACCCTGCTCCCATCTCATTCCCGATCTGCTGTCGGACCTGTTATTATTTTTGGTATTTCGGTATTTACTTTGCATTTTGTGCATCGTTCCCCCGCCACGTGATACGCATACATGTACCCCTTACGTATGCATATAAATATATGTATTGGTATATATACATATAAATATACATACAGTATGCATACTTATATATACATACAGGTACGACGTACAAACACGCTAATGCATAAGTATACGCATATGTACGGTGTACACCCTACATTAAATAGTATAATGTATAAATACACATACCTGTATCTGTGTCTAAATTTCCGTATAAATATACATATATTTATATACATAGGTACGACTACTCGCGAGACGAGTACCATAATCGAGGTACCTCATTTTTTGTTTCTTTTATCTAATTTACAAGTGCCCTTCTCTGTCGATGGATACATGACACGCTCGGTACAATGTATAAATTACATACTTCGCGTGTATATAATTACATTACATATATATCTAAGTATGCGTACGCGTGTATACTGGGAGAGAATCTTTTGGATTTTTTGTTTACTGTATTAGGTATGTACAGAGCAGCTCGAAAATGTCAGATATATATTATGTACCTCCGCGAAACCGTATATCAGGACATGACTGTACCGTCGTTACTGTGCCTCGTTTTTCCTCGGATAGTTTCTCTAGTAATTTCTCTTTTCCCTCGTTCTAGCTCTCATTTGTGCTAATCGACAGTACGCAGCTTCTTTCTCTCTCTATCTCTCGTTCTTTCTTAATTTCATCGCCCATCGACCTCGCGCAACGCCTCGAATACTGGTAGAGTGTTTTAAGTTAGATGAAAACTCTGCGTTTTGTTTTTTCTTTTTCCCCTTGTATATCCTTAACAAACATACGTTACAAAAGACTTAAGTTATCCTTAACGGCCCTTTAAGCAGCTTAAGTACCTGAAAGCTAACTTTGGAAAACTCAGTTTTAAGTGTCTCTCGTAAATTTCTTCTTCTTCTTCTTTTTTTTTTCTGCAAATGCGTTATGGTGTATCCTCTCTTTATCTCGTTCTCTCGCTCGCTCTCATTCGTTCGTTCAATCATCCTCGTGAACTCACTCGCACTCACACGATCGCTTTTCTCTCTCTCTCTCTCTCTCCTATAAATGCGATTGGTACGACTAAATGGGGATTACCGACACTGCTGGATAAAATTATGCATTAAGTATCAAACAGGAAATACTTCGGGATAATTCACGTCAACCCCATAATTAATATTTAGGATATTTCTCTCTCTCATCTTTCACGTGAGAAATATCCAGGTAATTAATCGAAATGACTACTTTCCAAACGATGTCACGAAATATCTAGTTGAAATACTTACTTACAAAACAATGCCCGGAAATATCTGTTTAACGTATTCTGAAGGAAAGAAGATACTAAAAAAATAATGTACTTTAGAACATTCACGAATGAGTTCCTTCATACACTTTGGGACATTATTAGTGCCGCTAGTATGTACCGATGAAACATTTCCCGTTTCCTATTTGACGTAATATTTTATCCAGCACTGCCTTGAAATAAGGCGAGGGAATTGCGCACGAGCGGAGAGACTCCTTATTACTTTAATTTACAGGAAGATGCGCGAGGAAGATGCTCCTCGTTTTTTTGGGGGAATCTTTCTAGTTATCAACGAAAATGAAATTACTTATATCAAAGAAATATTCCCTTAGGTGACCCCAAGGGCACATTTCATGTTCCACCGAGACCGCTTCTTCCCTTAAAAATTGTCATTGAAGAAAATGGGCTTTCCTTAAAACGATGAAATAAATTAAACGATACAACGTGCCGTTAGAGTTAACGAAGAAAAATCATTTCTTCGATGTAAGTAATTTTCTTCTCGGTATATGTTATTGCGAATAATCCCCGTGACCCGTTTTCGCCTGATTTGGCGAGCGTCGGCCGAAATTAAATTCAGAGATTTGGAATATTGTTCTATTTTAGCGTTCTGTTTGTCTACTGTAATACTGCAGTAATGTTATATCGGTACAACAAGCTATCATCGTTACAGTATTCTACGTACTTGGCTGGAATTTGGAACGTTCTACAGACACAAATGTTCACGTTCTGTTTGAGTGCCGTTGCACTAAATTTATCACATACACCATTTTCAAGTTGGTAATTTTAGACGCTACGAAAGGATTCGGTAATTCACCCGAGAATTGCATAAATCACTTTTTCCTAACACAAAACTGTACGGTACGTCAACGAAAAAGAGGAAAATCGCCGAGCACAATAAATAAATAGAAATTTTTCATCATTCCAGCGACATTCTTAAACGGTTTCATTCGTAATGATTGATACTTACGTACAGGGCATAATGCGAAATGCATAAAACTACGCGCGACTAGCCGTTCTAGTTAATTTCTGAAAGTTTTAATGAAATATTAAAATATCTCGGGTTGACCCCAGGTGGAATTGGTTGTAAATAAATGTGCTACGAGCTATTTCCGAAAATGAATATATCTTCCTCAGAAAGATATAAAAAGGAATTGTAACAATAGGATTGGGTATTACGGTAATGGTAAATTGCGGTGTATAATGTAACGATCCGTTTTCCTTTTTCTGTCGCATAATTAGCGTTCCAAATCTCTGACGAGAAGTCCTAGGGCGGCATTGTGATTAAAAAGAAAAATACGGCGTTCTGAGAAAAATCGACGGTGAAACCAATATCAATGAAATCAACGGAACTGAGAAAAACGGAAACGCATTTCCTCTTTACCCATATGACAGGTTAAAATACTCAGAACGTTTGTAGGAATTTTTCCAACCATCGGCACCGAGATATCCCTAAATTGTCTAATGAACATCCCCTCATACCATACAATTACGGGAACCGTCGTATGATATACGGAAGATATATAATAAATATCGGAATATCTCTGGGATGTCCTAAGAACGTGTTGAGATTCTCCCGTGATAACGGATACGATTCCTTCCCGTCTTAAGGTATTGATAACGTATCATCGTACATGGATCGGGTCTCGTGTAAATGCGCAAAAATGAATAAAATCGCATATAGTCATATCACGTCTTAATATAAATACATAGTTTATTGAAAACTAAAGCTTCCTTATAATGAGATCAATTCAAGGTCGGAAGAAAATAAAACGACTCCTGCCCAGCCGGTAAAGGGGAAAGAAATGGCTAATGACGAAGAAAATAAAATAATGACGAGTGGGTTAGAAATTAAAAAATAGAAATAAGGGAGACTCGTTAGAAAAGTAAGAAGCGCGTCGGTTGGCTGACCCCGATGGGACAATGGGAATTTCGATAGGTTTCACCGGCCGATACAAAGGAAAATAATTATCCTCCTTCTCTCTATCTACCTCGTTCTCACGCATATACCCGTACAATCCTTACAAATATAATAACTCATAACGAATTGCATGGCATTCACACGTCACGACAGCGCACACAGAAAATGGATATAAACCTGTCATTTTAAACAAGACCAAGCGTTTTTGTACTAAAGTGCAGCGATATAATATACCTTTTTTTCAATGAATTATCTACGCAGACTACGTAATGTACAGGGTGGTTTTATACATACGGCCGGAAGCGGCGCGATCGGTGGAAGGACTCCTCTATCCCGTTTACCCTCTTTTCTCACAATAAAACATTGCGCCAACGTTAGCGTCGTCCTTGTCCCGACTTTAAATAGAATCCTTGGAAATTACTCGAAAGTATCGTCTCGATAGATCCCACCGAAAATGTCATTTGAATACCAAGTTTACGCGTTATCAACGGTCCGTACCCTTTACCAGAAAATGTTTTAATGTTTGCCGCGAAAGTCCCGCAATTACTGTCTTCATCCACCGACATAAATCCATATCGCAAGGACAAAGCCGAAGAGAACGTCGCCGAGCACCATAAGGGTTTTTGGAGCGTACAAAGGATAAAGAGACCCTTCTCGTCTCGTCCTTTTCGACTCCTTTTCCGATCGTCCCGCTCGGTAGATGCGTCTCGTCTCTAGTACGATAGATACTGCAGGTAGTGTTATAAGTCTGGGCTGTCTTATCGCTGAAGGAATCCACATCGCACATAGGTCCTTCTCTACCCCGCCTGTCAAGAGTCAAGAGTGACTTCTTTGAATCCCGTGTCGAGCCTCACCCTCTGACTAGATTGCATTTCCTAAAGTCCTTAGAGACAACGGTTTAAACCTAGACTTGTTGCCACGCATAATGAATTGTATCTAACCGCTTAGTTCGTAGTTAACACCTAAAAGTAAAAGGATCGTGTCTCTCTCTCTCTCTTTCTCTCTCGCATTCTCTCTACCTCTCGCTCTCTCTCTACCCTTATTTAAGAACTGCTACAATGTTGCGTTCTCCTCGCTTAACCGGCAAATAGACTGTAACCTTATACTCGATATTGAATTGGAGAGATGCGCGCGTTTTCTTAAGCCGAAATCCTCGGCCGGAGAGCACAGTCCTGTCAAATCTCCCCACGTGACCGATATCGATAGTCGAGGTAGGTCGAGCACCTGCGTCATCGCGAGACCGCTTCCGCGGTCTTTAAGTCCCTCGATTGGGCGAAACTTGCCAGAAATGCGGTTTCAAGGGAAAAAAATAAATCGGCAATGAGTGGAACGTAGCGCCCTATCCTTAACGTAGAAATGAAAAGTTGCAAACGTTTTAACGTTAATCCGAATGAAATGCTAGTACGGATTCTCCGAGCGACGAAGTTTCGGAAAAACGAGGCGCGTCCGAAAAATTGAGTCTGCCGACCGGGCGAGAGGTCGAACCTGACCACCGGCTACCCCGGTCACGTAGGTGGACCCGAGCCCTAAAAATTAAAGCCTGTCCTTACACCTTACTAAGCGCGCTACTATTTACAGGATGCCCCGGCGTATCGGAGAGCTTCCCGCCCGGGTCAGCTCTCTCTCCTTCTCCCTCTAAACTTTGGTACATCCGAAGAGGTCAGGTTCTCGGGGTTACAGGACGAGCGCGAAACTCGAGCGAGAGCCCGATCGCTAGGACTACCTCTTCTTGGCGAGCTGTTTCGAGGCGAGCCTTTTCTTCAGCTTGTGATCGAGCTTGACGGCCTTCTTCTTGGGCCTCTCCGGCGAGGATCCGTTGCAACAGGCGCAACCCTTTTTCACGTGCCCCCGGAGGCTGGACCTGCGCGCCCTGCAGTCGGGTTCGACCAAGGTGACGCCGCCGATCTCGTCGTCCGAGTTCTCCGAGGTCTTGTCCCCGGAGACGACGTCGGGTCTGCTCTTCGCGTGCTGCACCTGCTGGTTGGCCTTGGGCTCCGTCCTGCTGAGCACCACCTTGGCGTTGACCCTCAGGGTGTCCTTCTTCTTGACGAAGGCGCAGCGGTCCCCGGGACTCCTGGCGTTGGTCCGGGAACTCTCCTCGAGGCCGTTGGTCACCGCCATCCCGTCCTCGGGCTGGCTGCCCACGGACTCGCTGACGCTGGAGTCCTCCTCGTCGCTGCTGGACCTGGTCCTCTCCGAGGTGGGGCTCTCCCAGGCCAGGTAGTCCGCCCTGGGCATCTTCGAGGCGACGCGCTTCTTGTTCGCGTAGGTGTACTTGTGCGTGGACAGGAGAGGCCCCGCTATGGGAGACAGCGGGGAAGGGATGGTCACGTCGGCGGTGTTGGCTCCGAGGAGGGTCAGGCTCTCGTCCCCCGAGCTGGCCGTGGACGCGTTGTTGGCGTTGGGACCCGGAGGCATGGACTCCGAGTCCAGGTCCATGTCCAGCTTCATGTTGGACGGCACGCTGGACACGCTGCTGGGCGAGCCCTCCTTGGATCCGTTCCTGGACGCCACCTTCGGCCTGGGAGTCTCCTTCGACGAGTCGTTCTCCGTCATCGAGGGCAAGTTCCCGGGCGAGAGCCTGGACAGGTCGGAGTTGCTGTTGGAGGCGTCGTCTTGGCTCAGGTTGTCCAAGCTCAGCCTGATCTGCTTCGGCGGATTGTCCAGCTGGGTCTCCTCGGGCTTGTCCCGCCTGGCGCGCTTGGCCATGTCCTTGAGGTTTCTGGTCCTGTGCACGGCGTTCCTGCGGCGGTCGTTTGCTCTGGAGTCGGTCACGGGACTGGCGTCTCTGCTCCCGGAGGAGGAGTCCAGAGGTCGGAAGTAGGCCGCCCCGTAGGACTTCAGGCCCAACGGCTGGCTACAGGACGCGTCCTGGGACGAGTGGTCGAAGGACGGCGAGTGGTTGGTGTCGAACAGGAGGTCGGCCTCGGGGAAGAGGTCGCTCGTACTCGGCTCGTCCACCCCTAGGTCCTCGCACTCCTCGGAGAGACTCTTCTGTAGCCTCAGCTCCCGCTCCAGGGCGGCCGCCTTCCTCTCCATTCGCTGCTGCAGGAGCTCTCGGTCCAGGCGAGGGTTCTGCTGCGACTTGACGATGGTACTCTTGTTCGCGAACTGCTGGAACGGTTCCAGGGTGTGGTTCATGAAGTACTTCTTCGTGCCTCCTTGGTACACCTGGCTCCCCGACATCTCCGTCCCCTGGACCTTGTTTATGATCTGCAGCACCCCGTGGACGTTCTCCGAAGCGTCGCCCTCCCGAGAGTACACCTTCAACGGCTCGATGTTTAGCTGATTCGTGGATGACGGGACGTACCTCCACGGCGTGTCCGGGGAGGACTTCCTTTCCGGTTCCCAGGCCTCTTGTAGCCTCGCGTTCCCGCACAGGATGCCGTTCCCCACCTTGCAGTCGATCGTTTCCGCCGTTTGACGAATAGGAGACTCTTGACTGTCGGAACTGACCGCGCCTCCGGACACTAGGAACGGCGTCGTGCTCTCCAAACTCGTCGTACTCTGCTTCGGGGTTCCGGTCATCGTCGGGGATGATTCTACGAAGGAAAACGATGGCGATGAGATCCCCGATACGTAACGGTCCCGCCCTTCAACTATTTCTCTATATTCAAAATACGGATCAAGAGTACATTTTACGGAAATCGTTGCAAGATGGTTCATACAGTAGTTGCGAGTAAATTAGGTCCCGAGATTGGGCGCTGACGAGCTCTTCTCCGAGTACCGTTCTACGTTGTATACCCAAGTACTCGAAAAGGCCGAAGAAAAAGTACCGATTTCTTAGAGTTTCTCGGTCGTATCGACAGCACCAAATGACGAAATGAAAAATTGTTAAATGACAAGTTTAGTATGAGTTACCCAAAGAAATGAAGGGTGGAAAGGAAGAGTTCGTCGACGAGACGATCGAACTGACCATCGAAAGAGAAATAATGATGCACCAAAAATATTATAACCATAATTGCGGCTATCATTGGCACATCGTGGAATTAAATTGGTTATTTAAATAAACTGTGTAGATACGAGGCACCATGAAACTTATTAACAGAAATTAATCATTGGGATGAATTTCACGGGATTCAAAAACAAACGCTAAGAAGAAAAAAAAATGTTGGTGTTGTCCTTGAATTATCCCATGCAAATACGATCGGTATTTTTTATGACAAAGACCTACAAGATAAAATCAGAAATTATCCGCTTGCATTACATACAGTAGCAGCATTCACTATGAAATTAATTGCAGCACTCTGGAAATACCAGAATGCATTCAAGTAACTAACCGAAACAATGGAACTTGTATTTAGAAGTGCATGCCTTCGGAAGTACGTAATACGGAGAAATAATTAATACAACTACGATACACCGATATTTCTTCCTAGTTTTCTTAATTTTTTAGTATTCTCATTTTTCCCACCTTTCTCTTATTTATCGTGACTTTTATCGGATCTTTCCTTAATGCTGTCGGTAATTAATTCATAGATTTGCCCTACAGACAGATTTGGCAGTTCGATGCAATGAATCAATTAATATTTGTACATTTATTTATTACGCTCTTATAAAAGGAGGACTTAACAATGCTCCTCATCGGTTTCGGCGATTAATCTATTGATTTGTATGGACAAATTTGCACGACAGCTTTAGAAAAGAATTTACACTAGATATATCGGATTAATAAATGTCTTGTTGAATAACTTTTATTACATAAGACATTATTGCACCTTAATAATATTATCTGTGATGAATCGGATTTAAGATTTTTCTCTTTTAACATCCTTTCGATGTTCTCCGTCATTCGTTTGTTTCAAAAAATTCACTTTTAAGAGAAAAAGTGGTTAGGAACATTTTCTATTAAGAAGTAAGTTAGAACTATACGTAGTTTCTATACTACAGAATCTGTAGCAAGCATTGATGTGTATGGTCAATTTTTATTCACATACATGGTAGATCATGTAATAATGTGCAAATTATTGATGAACACTATCAATGACTTCCGAGTTGGAACAAGCATTTGATCTCGAAAAGAAAAAAAATTCGAAGCTTCCTTTTTACAATTAATAACAGAGTAATATTTAAGAGATACTAACGAACAATCAAAAGCTTATGCATGAATTATGTACACGTCAACGAATGTAGGTATCATAATGCAACTACAGCTTATCCTCCGTGCATAGTATCCAAAATAAGGCACATTATTTCCGTATCATTCCTTCAACGGAAAACACCATTTTTTTTTTACATGTACATGTATACGCGCGGTTAGGCAATCATTACATATCCCGAGGTTTCGGGTATGCCGTGAGAAGAAGTACAGGTGACTGCCTAAGACCAATGGAGTTAATTAAAACGACTATTTAACGGAGGGATCGGATACTTATATCAACGAGAAAATATCCACTGCTAAACGGAAACTCCTAGGGGGTCCGACCTGCTCGAACGAGGCATCCAATATTACCACCAAAAAGTATCAAGAAAAGAAATGTTCAATGCCGAGACGTGCGATCATGCATGTACGGTGGGGTGAAGCGTTTTCATCATCGTGCACATCTTAAAAACAGATTGCCCTCCGTAGCCGGGAGCACGGAATGCCTTCTTCTTTTGGCAGCCACATCCTTACCGATCTTCGAGTTATTCTGTAAGGACGTCACGACGTCGGTAGATGACACGACGGAGTTCGAAGCTATAAGGGTTCTGGGCATGTTCTCCACCAATCCAATGGAAGCGTCATCGATTTTCCTCTTAACGGTCTTAGGTGAGATGACCTTGTCCCCGCTAGTGATCTCAGTGGCGACTTCCTTGGTTTCCTTCTGCTGACTGTTGTTAACAACGGGTACTTCCGTCTGAGGGGCGAATGCCAAGGCGATGGCAGCAGCCTGGATCGACACGGGCTTGTTCTCCGCAAGATTCTCCTGGGAGGCCTTTTTCTCCTGCGACTGAGCCATGGTGGCAGCAGGTGCCAGACAAACGACGCTTTCCGTCTTCAGACCCGAGGGTGTCGTGCCCAACTTGGCAATGGACGAGTTGAACAGTCTCGTGCCTTGCAGAGCAATGTTGGGATTGCTGGTAATCACTCCGCATATCTGTTGGTTATCGGCCATATCATTGACGTTGATGTTCCTCTGGATGAGACCGATGGTCGGAGTCTTGTTAACAAGGATGGTGTTGGCAGGCTGTTCCGGAGTGGAAACGGGATTCGCATCGTTCTTTACGACGACCTCGACGTTCTCGTTCTTGTCCACGGGCTCTGTTGCGAACTGAGTGCTGGTGCTCGTCTGCGGGACCACGGTGGATGCATTTTGAATACCCTGACCAGCCAAAGTCTGGGTGGTACCGAGAGTCTGCAGCGTCGGGATCTTCACCTGCTTCACCTGAGCTGGCTGAGAAATTATCTTCCCCGCCTGGTTCAGAAAGGACTGCAGAACCAGGGTGTTGGAGACCCCGGTAGTACCCGTAGTCCTGACGGTAGCGGGCACGGTAGCGAGCAATTTGGAACCTCCCGAGACGATGGTAAATTGTTGTCCTCCTTTCATCAGGTTCATCGGCAGAATGTAATTAGTGCCCGGTACCAGAACGGCTGTACTGCCCATCTTCCCCGTCACGGATGCCAGAGCCTCGCTGACACTGACAGCCGCCGTTTGTACAGCCTCTTGTACGATGACGGCTCTGGGTTGACCGGTACTGGGTTCCGTAAAAATCAAATTCCGTCTTTTTACGTTGAGCTCCACTCCGTCGTTGGAATCGTTCGCCATGTTCCTGGCTTCTACCGTCGTATCCACGTTGGAAACATTAGCTGGCTCTTCAGGAGTCGGAAACCCAGCCGGACTATCTTGGACGTGAACGACCCCACTGGAAGAATCCTCGCTCCCCATGGTTCTTCCAAGATCATCGGTACTGGGACTCAGCTCCGAAGGTTGTTGGCCGATTGGTTTCGATTTGTTGGAATTGGATTTCTTTCTTTTAGAAGACTGACTAGGGTTCGTTGGCGGATTCGATCGTCTTCTCGGCGCAGGCTTGTTGTTCAAGTCCGGCGAGTTCCTAAGTTGCTCGGCGTATTCGTCCAAAATCGCGTAGATCCTTTGAGCAGTCTGTTCGTCCTCTTGCGGTTTCTGCTGAGGCTTGGGGATAGGCGATGCCTTGGAAGTGTTCGTCGCGCTGGTTTTCACCGTTTTGGGAGTAGATTTCTTCGCGGTTTTTGCAGCAGGAGTCGGTGGCGTTTTCCCAGCGGAAGGGACGGGTGCTGGAGCTGGGGTAACGCAAGGACTGGAGGAACTCTGGGAGGTGACACTCAGCGCAGGCGACGCTGCAGGTTGGCAGTAGCTGGTTACGACGACAACGGGGGTGGAGTTGGAAACCTTCTGAGGAGGTGTTGCCGTGCTCTGGTTAACGTAAGCTAGGGACACCTTCTGAGGAAACACTTCTTGCTGAAAGGTGACGGTGTTCCCGCCATTCGCAGGAAATTCTGTACCGCTGGGTGGCTGGGAAGGCATTCGTAGTTGTTGGGCCAGGGCACTAACGGACGCCTGTTGCTGAAGCTGTTGTTTGGCTTGAGTTTGCTGGGTCGTGGTCTGGGTTTGCACGGTCGTCGTGGCAGCGGTTGACGTCGCCTGGTGCTGGGGTTGGATGGTGCTTCGCTCTTTAACTTGCTCCAGAACGCTTTCGAACTCCCTCAGTTGCTCCAGAGTGGTAGAACTGACTTGGTTGGGAACATCGATAGGAGAATTAATGAGACTATCGGTTCTAACGGGTTGCTGAGGTTGCTGGGGCTGCTGCTGCTGTTGCTGTAGCCTAGGGGCGGCTAAAACCGCTTGAATGGTGCTGGCGATGTTCTGTTGCCTAAGAGGCGCGCCTGCTCTGATGATGTTCAGCTTGACGACGGGCGTTCTCCCAGGAGGAATGGAGTTGGCGTGCGATATGGTGGGTATTATGTTCAGCTGGCTGGGATTGGTAGTAGAAATCGTGACGGGAATTTTGTGCGTGTAGATGACACCCGGGGACGCGTTCTGTACGCTCTGGACGAGCTGCGTGAGCGTCTGCCCGGCGCTAGGGCTGCTGGAATTTGCATTCCCGGCGGAGCTCTGCACGATGTTCAGAATCTGCCGACCAGTCGACAGTTGGAGGTTTGGAATGTTCGTTATCGACTGAACGTTCATGCTCGCAGGCGCCGGACTGGGCTGACTGTTTGGAACCGAAGTCTGCACCGCCTTGGACAGGTTTGCCGTTTTCTGCATGGCCGTTGGCTGAGAAAGCGTATCCGTGGTTGCCGAAGCCGCTACGGTCGTGGTATCCGTAGACAAAGTATATATGGTTTTGCCAAACGCTTGCTGGAATTTCGGTAAACCCGTGTTCTGAGCGGAGGAGGACTTCACCGTGGGCAGCCTGTCGTAGTTACTTCTGGTCGCAGCGCTTCCGGCATCTGAAGATCGCTGTATCTGTCTGGGGAACCCCACGTTCTCCTCTACGTTTTGCAAACTCAGGGAATTCCTCTGATTGGAGATGTTCGGGTTCACCGGGGCCAGCTGATAAGTGCCATCGGGTTTGCAGACGATTTGCAGGTGCTCGGAGGAGATGGGCACCTGAGAATTAGCGTTCGACGGCGACGGGGATTTTTTCGGAGACTGGTTCTGATTCGTCCTTTGATTTGTCGTTATCGTTCTGGGACTATCCGGCTCCACGCTGGACACGCTCATCAACCCCGTAGGTGGGGTATCCGGTGGTTGATTCGCCTCCTCGCCGACGTCGTGCAAAGCTGACCTCGGCGGGGGTGTTTGACCCGCGGGACTCATGCCGACCCCGCTGTCGTGTCCCCCCGAAGAGGGTGTACCCGGCAGTTGGATGTTTCCAGCGGTGGTAGAGGTGCGATTCCGAGGTGGGGTGTTCCCGCTGTTGACGGAGCCAGAATTAGGACTCTGGGGAATATTCCTAGAGAGCTGCACGATGTTGACCGTCGACTGCACCCTAGGCGGTACCATCATGTCCAAGGAATTCAAGCCCGGGACATTCTTGGCTAGTATATCCGAATCCCTCACAGCCTTAGCGAGGATGTCAAATTTCGACTTTCCTAGACTAGACTTGGAAGAGGCCAGATCGCGAACGTCAACCGACCTTAGACGGTCCGCCTTTGCCGTTTTATTCAAACTCTTCTGCTTCTGGTAGGTTCCGATGTTATTTTTATTCGGCGAGAAAGGCATACTCTTTTGGATGTTCATTAGCTCGCTGGTGATATCTCCGGCACTGAGCGGTTGCTTTTTCGTCGGCGACGCCTTCAAGTCGGCCTCGTCGGTCCTTGTTAGAACGATCTTAGGATTCAGGTTCAAGGAACCCAACATGGGGGCGAATTTGTTAACGGCGGCGACGTTACTGCTGCCGTTATCTTTCCCTTTGTTGATTATGTTCTTTTGGAGTATCTGGGCGATCCTCGTGGGTTTCTTCGCGTTCTGCGGTCTGAACATTCTCAGGGATTTTAAAACAGCCGGATCGCTCCTCTTCTCGGTGATGATGAGCGGAGCAGCCGCGGTGTACGCGGACCCCTTGATGGTTTCCCTTTTATTCTCGTCCATGTCTGCCGAGAAGAGCGTAATGATGTCGTTGCTGCTCACATCGGAACTGCTGGCATCCTCGTTCGTGTGTCTGATGTTATCGTTTACCAGCATGTGGAAATGAGACATCGACTCGACGGTCAAGTTCGACTTGGTGCGCTTTTTCGAGGGCTCCTTGTTCACGGATTTGTTCGGCTTCTTCTCTTGTCGACACCCGTCGCTTCCCAGACTATCCGTCTGACTGTCCTGGGTGTTGGTATCGCTGTCCTCGGAACAAGAGCTCGTCCTCGTTCCGAAGTGCTTCGTCTTCTTCTCCGCGCTGTCGTAGTCGCTTTCGGAAGACTCCAGCCTGTGAACCTTCCTTTGTCGACCCGCTCTGCGAACCCGTAAGACGCTTCCACTGTCGGAATCCGTGGTATCGTCCAAGCTACGTCTCGCCGAGGACCGTTTGTACGGGCCAGCTGGTTGGAAGCTACCGAACTGCTCCGAATTATCGGAAGGCAAATCCGCCCACTGCTCGTATCCTTTCTCGATACCGAAAAACACGTCTTTGGACTCGTCCTCGGACGGCCAGTCCTTGAACTGGGAATAATCGATGTTAAGGTACTTCAGCTCTTTGTTCGTATTGCGCATCTCCTCGGCATTTTCTAGATACCTCTCGCAAAGCCCGCTCAACTCGTTCCAGTCGAGAACCCAGCTGAGCATGTGGTATCTGGGACTGCTAAGAACCACCGCCAGGTCGTCGCAGAGTTGCGGGGAGAGACCCAATTTATCGGCATCCAAAACCTGATTAGGAACCGACTTCTCGTCGTAATTGGCCGAGCCCGTAACGGCGTCACCCTTGATCAGAATCAGCGCATCCAAGGTCCTCTCCACGTTCGAGGCAGCTTCGTGGGATTGATTGCTAGGCAACTCTATCCCGGTAAACTCTCCACAATTGAAGCAAAGCTCCCCGAGCGGTCCTTGCGAGTCGGGGTCCCTTTTTGGGTGTTTCAAACACCTGTCGCCGACGAGGGGAGCTTCACCTTTCCGCGGGGCCGACAGAAGATTTTTTAACAGCTGATCGGTGCGCTCGAAGGTTTTCGACACGCCCGTGTGAAATTTTTGAAAATCTAGGCTCTTCGCGGGACCCCTTGGCTTGGATGGAGATAGCTGCGAGGCGGAGGGGCAAGACGACGACGTGGAAAGCGGTTCCAGGATGCTCCTGAATTCGGTACCGTTGGGTGCCTCCAAGTCGGAGCTTTTCTCCTGCTTGATGTCGGACTTTTCGGGTTCCTGGATGCCTTTGAGCTTCTCCTCGCGATTCCCGGTATCGGTCGACTCTCCTTCCTTGATCTTGCCGCACGCCACGGCGATTTCCCTTATTCTGTCGTAACAAGCTCGCGTTGGGTGCAAGGAGAACGCCGTCAGGACGCATTCCCTGGCGATGCCAATGTTGTCGACCACCACGTCGGCCAGCTTTAGGAATTGAGAACTCAATCGTTTCGCCGTTTCTCGGACCTTCTCCTTGTCCGACTTCGCTTTCTGACTCTCCAGCTCGTTCATGTCCGTCGTCAGGGCCCGGATATACAGCTCGATCACCAAGGATTTTACATTTTCCCCAAACTGCGGAAAAGTAAACGTATGTCAGTGCGTCGGGTCGCATTGGCGACGGTCCAGCCGACCGTGAAAAGGAGACGCTAGGAGAGAGATGGAGCTACTCCAGAACAGAAGGAGAATCTTGGCGAAAACGAGAGTGCTTTCTTGCCGCGAGTGCAGAAGAATACCGGAAAAGTTTAGCCGGATTTCATTTCTCTCCACTATGTCATGAATCGAACGATGCATTTTATGGAAATTACCGTGCATACTCGACTGTCTTAAGCTCGCAATATTCAGGGCTAAGGGCGCCGAATTTTCAAATTCATTCATTCCTGCCGTAACAACCTAAAACCTCCATAAGATTCCTTCGGTAGTTCCTGATTTTATCCGAGTAGAAAAATCCCCTGGTGATGTCGAGGTGGATTTCGCGATGTAAAAAATTTAGAAAAGGCACCCTCAATTTTAGTCTGCGTTCCCGAGACTGACCGACCCATTAGAGAGAAGTTGGGTGTGTCGGGAAAGTGTTCCACCACATCCTAACCCATTTCCTCCAACTTCTGGCGCGTTCGACGGGCCACGCGAAGTCGCGTATTCTCCTGGGCACGACGCTTGGAGTTCGCAACGAATACGAGTTTACTCCAGCTGCTTGCAGTAGAGTTCGAAGTAGACGGTTCGGTTATTTCCATCAATTCCTACCAGACATGGCCCGAAAATCCCACCACCCCCAAAACACCATATCTGGCCCGTGAAAGTCGAGAGAGCCTTTTCTCAATTTTTTTTTTTTTTTTTTCACCAAGAAATGTAGCTCCTGAGAAATTCTCGATTTCTACGGGGAGGTACTGGTTTGCTGGATTTTGTTACACGAAACGCAGGGTCGAGGGAACGGTCGACAAAGAACTTATTTTACGACCTACAAATCCATGTTTCCGGATGATCCCCCGCTTATCCGACTCTACACCGATCGCGCGGCTCGACATAAAATTTCAGTTCCGTGCGTCAAACGTCGAATCCGATGGAACACTGTTCCCTGATAAAAATCCGCCAGGAAGATAATACCTTTCACGTTATATCTCGATGGAACTTTATTATCGATTCATTCACCCGATGGATTAAGTAATCGTTCCACGGGAAATTATGATTAGGTAATGCGGGGCTGATTAAGATCTTCCGGGGAATGAATTTCGGAAGATCCGATCGGTTTGCCGACTATCGGATAGGAACTCATCTCTCTCCCTCGCGGTTCCTCGCGGTTTTTGGGCACTTACGTGTTTGACCAGTACCGCGCAAAAAATGTAAATGTGTTGGGCGCTCTCGGCCGGCTCGATCAGCTTCCTTATCATCCCAGGCAGAGTCGGGGCGATGTCCTTTAATTTCGAATGCAACAGGGCCCAAGAATTGAGGATTTGCTCGAGAGTGTTCGCCCCGGTGTCCGTGACCGGACGAACCATCCCGGCAGTCACCAGATACTGGGCCACCAATTCGGCGGCCTTTATCGAATTTCTCCAAACCCTCGCGGTGCCATATTTCGTGGGTTTCTCCCCGCTGAGCCTCTGCACCAACTCCAGACCGTCGTTAAGGTCCATTAATTTTAACTAGAAGAAACCAAGACCTTCCATGTTAATAAGGAGTCCGCAACGCGCCCCCGAATTCGGGATAGAAAATATCCCACGAGCAAGAATTCAGGATACCAGCGTATCGTTACATATACATCCCGTACATATGCCGTGAAAACGATCCATCGGCATTATTGTTTTATCGCAACGCGCCGCTATCCTGCCTTCTTCCGGGACGAAGAAAATGCTCGAGAGGGAGAACTCGTCGCCGATTCGACTCGAGCGAACGTACTTGAGCGAATATGTCTTGCGTGCGTTTAAGTTTGTACAGGAGGACAATGTAGACATCGATCATATAGTGGATATGCTGGGGATCCGAGAGCGAACGAAGACGATCGCTCCTCCGCAAGGAGCGAACGCACGCAGCGGCGAGGTTCACCGCTATGTCCTCGCAGCGGTCCTCGCACAAAATCTTCAGCCTCATGGTCAACAGCTCACCCTTCTCCGAACAGCAGAATTCTAGGGCAAAAGGTGTTAAAGTCAGTACGAGCTAGTATCTTAACCGCGGAAATCGGATCCAGGTAGGATGGAAGTGGGATTTCCCTGCGAGAAGGCGCTAGGGGGCCGAGGTGGAAATCTGGATAGGAAATCGGCTAGGAAAAACGAAGACGTACCCTCTTCATGTTCGGAATCCGGTTGTCCGTTAAGAATGCTGTCGAGAGCGGGATGTGCCCATGGGCTGTGCACCAAGGCTATGAGGGCGGTACAGTGCGGTGCAGCGGGGTGTTGCACCAGGTGACTCGCACACCTCTGCAGGGTGACGCTGAGGTGCGTCTTCGTGGCGGGTGTCAGCTTCGGCCACTCCCCGCGCAATACCAATTTCAATGTGTGTCTGAAAGGTGGATTTCCCTTTTTTTACTACCTCCGATTTTCATTCCCACCTCGTCACGCTCGGCGGTGAATGTCGGGCGTAACGCCGGGATTTCGAGGCGTTCCTTTATTTGCCGGAATCGAGGTGAAATCGCGAACGAGGGTTTTCGCGCCTCCGATATTTACCGCCACTTCCGTCGACAAATGCGAGCTAAATCGAATCGATGGCTTAAGCGAAAGTCAAACGTTTAAGTCGCGGCTCGACCTACGATCACTCAACGGGCCCGAATTTAAGTTGCAAACGTCGAATTTGGATCCAACCCGTTGCCTGACGATCCAAAGGGCTGGGTGAACCTGGAATCCAATTTGAGGCACAAACAAAATTAACAGGCTCATCGAAATATTTCCGTGACCTAGACATTCGTGCCACGTTGAGTTTTGTTTATGCAATTTTTTTTACAAAAGCCAGAGCTGTTAAAAAAAATAAATTCCGAAAATGACCATCATTTTTTAACAGCTCCGGTTTTAGGAAAGAAAAAATGCCACAAACGGAACTCAACATTACGCGAAGGTCCACATCACGGAAATATTCCAATAAGCCTGTCAATTATGTTTGTGCCGTAGACTGGATTCCAGGTTCACGCAGCCGATCTAGAGCCGATCTAATAAACGCGTGCCAGATCAATTTTGAAAATAAAACAGACCACCTATCCGCGTCCACCCCTCGGTACCCTACACCTCAGGAAAGGTGCATCCAAACGGTGCAACGCATCGAAACACCGGAAACCGTAAAGTCGGTCGACGGAGTCGAATCGAGCGCGTCGGACGATCGTCGAGACGGGTCGATATATTCGAGGCATATGGCCATGATATAAATTTTTTTTTTCATCGAAAAGTCATAAGCTACCCAGCTGCATTTGCTCGGGACGGTGCGAGTCACGCCGTCACGCCCGATGCGCGCAGATATCCGATTAGAAAAATTCCTATCGCGGAGCATAACAGAAATGAATACGTAAGTAATGGCGGGCCGAAGTAATTGGATAGATGACTGGTACCGAACGCGATATCACGGGGCGAGAGGGTGATCGAACGTCCTCGTCGGTACTCACTTGTGAGCCCATTCTATGAGAGACTGGGTGGCCTCCGGGGTTGCCGCAGGAATGAAATTGGTGACATGCTCCCAGGCGGACAGAAGTGCATTCACCTTGTCCCCGTACTTCTTTTTGCTGTCACTCAGTGTCGCTTCAAGCCCCTGCACGGGAATCAAATGGGACAAATTATCGAATCGATAGGAAAACGGACTCGCCTTCGCGATTTACGGGCCTCGATTCGAGCCGAGCCGTTAATCCAAAACAGGAGACGCTTGTCTTCTCGCTTCGCGTCTCTCGGGGCGAGCGAGATATCCGGACCTCGAGAAAGACCAGTTTACGCGTTTATTCGATATTTCCATTCATCCCGGGCAGGACATTAGTTCTTTATTCTCGTTATCGAGACCTTTTGGAAATGAACGATCCTACTTTAAGGGAGAACGTTTTAACGACCGGGACCCGTACTTCGATTTAAGGAGAGGACTCGAAAGAACCGAGGCGGTAGGAATTGATAGGTCGATTTAAATCGCGTTACCTCCGATAGATACCGCGACATTAATTGGCCGGGCGAAAAGCATGATGTGCGCGGAAATTAGCGTCGACGGATGTGCCCATACGGAGTACACATATTGCATAGAGATTCGGATTAAACGGCGTATGTTATGGCCCTCGTAAATTACACCGAATCTCGCCGTTTGATCTATAACAACGGCGGGGTAGTGACGAAGAAACAACGTGTACTCGCTTAGGAATAATTACCGTACTTTCGCGTGAGATTAAATAAAGCGAGATGTGATATTTTCCATTTCCCGTAACGGGGAAAGTACCGGGAAATGGAGTAAAAACGCGCTCTAGTTTTGCCGTTGGTCGACCGTGTTTCTTTCATATGATGTTATTCGACAGTGCTTGTTTCCCATTCGGATGGTTATTTTAATAAACGATTTGCAGGCGTTGGTCGAAGTTTCGACGCCGGAAGGATTGACTCGAGATAAGGGGATTTCCGAAAAGACTTGGAATTACTGCGACCGTTTAGGCTGGAAAGAAGATGACGGGTCCTAACTCCGAGTTAAATCTCTCCCGTGTCAGGAAGAAACCAATAAAGCTCGTTTGCTCCAGGAGAAACAACTATCTTATTGGCTCGCCCCAAGATTTAAAGCCGTATAAATTCAGCATCACCATGAAGACCCGTGTACAGTAGGAACAAGGATAGGTTCGAACTTTAATTTAAACTTAAAGCCTTAAAAGGAAGACAATCGAGTTCGTTCACTCCGGGAGAAACGGTCATCTTATTGGCTCGGCCAGCCAATAAGCGGAGAATTGCATTTGGCATCTGTTCTATAAAATCGGGAATAACGTTGCAATCAGCTGTTCACTTCAGCCGTGCGGCGAAAACTCGTAGGATTGAAAAGGAAAATAAGAAAGGGAAAAAGGGAAACGATCTCGAGACGGCGGGGTACGAAAGCTACGATTTCAAAGCAACACTCAACGGTATCGAAAGTACGAAGAACATTCAACGTTAATTTCAACGCCGGACAAATACTTAATGGAAAAGTTTTCTTGAACTTTGCTCTCGCTAATTAATTAGTCGGCGTGCTTCCTTTTCTACCACGGGATGCATAAAATGAGTGTCGTTCGTGTAAACACCACCAAAACGAGACGTAAAGCTTCCTTCTCAACCAAAGGATTTTTAATATGGGAGAATATTACACGGGAAGGCATTTCTTTTTTTTTTTTTTTAACAATTTAATAACGGTGAGTTTTGGATTACTTGACTCAGTGCGCAAAAACTGTTTCCGGGAAAGACGAGACTATTTTTGTGCCCAGTCAGGTTATTGAAATATTGAGTGAAAAGATGCATTTGCTACGGGTAAACATTGAACAAGACCGAATTTTCCCGTCCATCGGAAAAATCCGTGAAATACATTTTTTTTCCATCGATAACCGAGTATCTCCGAGATATTTTCGGTTCGTTTGGTTAAAAGCGTTGTTTGTCCGAATAAATGAGATATGGATAAGGACTCGTTTTGATAGCGGTTAATTTAGATATCAAAGAAAGAAAAAGAAATGCGTTAGGGGAACTTAACGCGAAATATTTTATCATTTTCGCCGTTATCACAAAATGTATACCGCTAGAGCCAAAGCCTAGCAACGGCTGTCCGAAAAAAATTAACAAATCTTCCGCTCGCAAAGGGGACCATGTTTGCTTTCCACACACGATATGTACAGAGGTAGACATCCTATACGTGGAGAACAAAAATAATAAATTGAAAAGGATCAAAGAAAAATATGTTTATGTATCCCGAAAGGAGCTTTCTAAAGAGGAAGGTATTCCGCAAAGATATAAAATTGCCTCGAAGTCACGATGCCAAATGAAATTCCCCTTTTAGTGCCGATGCAAATAGCGTGACCAAAGTGTTCATTATTAATATAATTAATTAAACTAAGAGGAAGTTGACATTTGCAATTCGACAGTTGCGAAAAACAGCTGCGACGACGTCGTTTCAAGATGTTGCAGAAAAGTGTGAGATCGTACTTGTGATATTGCTCCATCCATTGATACTCCGTCTGGTAAAAGTTCCGAAGATTAATTTTCTTACTCCTGTGCAGAACGGGGCCAGGATTGCTATTTCTCCCTCTTTCTCGCCCAATTTCATCCTCCCCCTTCGTTTTTCTCTTGCACGGGTTGAGTTCCGAATTAATGCTACATTAAGTACCACTATGTTTGCTGCAATCCACAAAACAACGTTCCAAACGCAATTTAGTCGATGCCCAGGAGGCAATATAATAAATAGGTTACATTTCTCGCAATAATTATTTTTTCGAGATATTTCCTACCAACTTTTTCTCCCTCCTCTTTCTATTGAAATAAATTAAACGAATCGCATTCCAATTAACCGGACCTTCATTCGTACTTTTTAATATCTCCTCCTCTCGCGCCCAACTTTGCTCTTCCCTTCTTCGTCTCGCTTCCTATACAGCTTGGACAATAAGCTATTGTCACCGGAAGTACCTCGTTTAATTATAGCCAGGCAAAACATTTTGACCAGAAATCCATCCATACCAAGGGACAGAAATATAACTCCTAAAGACAAATGTTGATCCCGTTAAGCACCGTCGAGTTCGTAATTATCTTGCAAGCAAGAGCGAAAAGGAAAACGAAGAATTACCTTTATAACTCGGAAAGAAGTTTCCGCAATTACCGTACGTCCACGCCGGAAATGTTTGAAGTATCGGTTTACGTGTGCCGTTCACTCGCTCGCATACATTACGAGTTTCTACGTACTTTACATCGCGATGCATAAAAGAAACGCTCCCGATGGAAATAGCCATTGCTCGCTCCGTATATATACATCGGCGTCTCTTTATATCTCCTCGTCTCCCAGACGTTTCGCGGCTAATTGTTAATTATTCGCCGAGGAAATTAGCGCGCAACGAGAATCCAGAAACACGTCCGCTTAATCCGAAGTGACGTCAATCTCGTATCCTATTTTCGGAATCGATAGATCGATTTAAGAGAGAGAGAAAGAAGGAGGACGATAATTTTGGACCAATCCCGTTTCGGGACACAGAAATGGAAGAACTCCCTCGGAAGACCTTCCATTTCCAAAGGCCATAATCGTTCGCAAAACGGCCCGAATTGTTTTCCTTGCCAAATCGCTTCGAGATTGAAATTATTAATTGGAGGTTAGGTCTTTCGTTTCACCCTCGGCCCGGCATAATTATCCTCGAGTATTGGAAAATCGATTCGAGCTTGCGAACGAAGACTCTATTAAACAGGTTTCGACGTAGTCTTTCGGTCTTTGACCCGCTAACGTTAAAAATTCACCTTAGCTTGGCCAACGCCGGGTTAAAGGCCAAAAAGGAGGGTTCTCCTCGACATTTATGAAATTCTTGAAAGCTCGTTGCACCTCGAAAGGGGGAACGAAAAACGCGTGACTTTTTAAAGATGGCATCCTCGCGGACGATGGGGCATTTAATATCGCCGATCCCGATTACGATGATTTCGGGTGCTTTTCGTTAATTTCGCCAGGGGATACGATTTAGGGTCCGGCAAAAGCGAGATCGATTATAGCGGGGCATGGAGAGAAAGAGAGAAAGAGAGGAACCGTAATTGCCCAAGAGCCGGATCCGCGGAGACGGGCTTCGAGTTGCATTTCTTTTCCCTTGGAAAATACGAATCTCCTCGCGGGCGGCAGAGTGTCGTCATTAAGGCTACTATTTTAGGAAAACAAAGGCGAGCACATTCAGCTTTCATTATTTCATTCGTTTCATTATTTTCTTCTTTTTTTTTTCCCCCCCCGAGAGCTCGTTCATTTCATTCGCCCACAGTCGGCGGCTACGGTATCGACCGGAGAGATCCGGAGGAAAGAAAAGTACCGAGGGGAGAAGAAAGAGCGACGAATCGAGGGAAGAGGAGGCGAAGCCTCGACCTCGGGAGAAAAGGCCGATAAATAAGAGAGTCACGTAGCCTCCGTTAATGAAAGGCGGAAGGGACCCAGACGAAGACCGAGACCTGGAGCAATTATCGCGACATTTGACTCGGGATAACGCTTCTCCTCCCTTCTATTTCCGTCCCTTCGAGGCTCGCGGAAACGCGTCATCGAGAGCGATCTTGACCTCGAGGGGAGGGAACCGCCGTTCGGAGGAAAGAAAACAAAGTGGACCGGAGTAAGGTCGGGAAAAAAGAAGGCGAGCAGGAAAGATAACGGGTCCACCCCCGAAAAGGAAACTCGATAAACAAGAATTTCGCGCTCCCGTCCGCCCAGACACGGCGAAAAAGGTCCTCGAGGTGGAAAACGAGGGGAGGAAGAGAACCCGGGGACAATTATCGCGACTTTCGCGAGTGGATATCGCCCGACTTCCGCGTGTCGCCTTCTCTCCCCCTTCCGGTTTCTCCCGGTGGCGCGATAACGGGGAAGGGGTCCACGAGCGAGAAACTGCATCGCGAAAGGCCCGGCAGAAGGCGAGGGAACCACCGCTCGAAGAAACGAGAGAAGAGGGGAAGAACGCCAAAGAAAGCAGAGGAAGGAAACGCGACGCACCGAGAAATGAAAGTTTCCCGCGAGCCGGGACGTCTCTTCCTGGAGGACCCTTCGGGATTCCTGGGCTTGCGGGGAAGATAGAAGAAACGGAAAACGCGAGAAGGCGGCAAAGGGAGAGAAAAGAAAACGGAGTAGGGGACGATTCAGGAATTAACGCGACGAGAGTCGCTCGGCGATGGACCGAGGTCGACAGGATGACCTCGATTTTCGGTATCCGCGCCGATCGGGCCGAATATGCCAGTCGAGAGACATTTAAACCGGGAAACTGATACGGATAAGGAGAAAAGAGTCCGCGCGAGGATAAGGGGGCTGGCTTTAACGGGTTTTACGATGCAGCGGAGCACGGCGCGCTCCGAATCGACTTCTTCCGCTTCTATTGGCCATCGATCGGAATAGCGTTTTCCTTGCCGATCGGCCCGATTATTTATTATTTTTCCATCGGACCTGGACGGCGGAACTTCCCTCTCGGGCCATTTATCCTCCACGTTTCGTTGCGGTGCGTCGCTCCCGTTACTCCCGACCCCTTTTATTATGTGACGTTTCGGACGAGAGTCGCATTTCCCGTGTCGAGTTTACCTCTTCCTTTGTCGTCCCCGAGCGAGTCCTGGACTCGAGTGCGCTCCGTACCGGAGTTTCCTCCCCCAATTGGGTATCGATCTACTTTTGAGAATGGCTTTTCCTCCGGTTTTGTTTATCCATTTTCGCCCTAACATTCAAGATCTGCGTAGATTATTCTTATTAACATATTTCTCCGTTTTTCGGACCCGTTGCGGGGTAGCATCGCCGGAAATTGCCGTTTGGGGTCGAGGACTGATTCGAGGCGATTTTTATTTTCAACTTCTCTTCGCGCGATCATTTTCCGTTAATCCTTGATTCGAAAACTATTTTAAGGAGGTACGTCGATCGCTAATTGAACGCCGGCGGATGTCGATACCGTTTTATCACCATGTTGAACGAATTAACGGAAATCACGAATGTGCATTTTTAGGACATGACCCGGATTGGAAGAGGACGCGGACTGAATCTGGTGCGTCGTAATAATAGATTTAATAACTGTCGAAGTGTCCTCATCTCGATGATCGATCGACTCCATTCGACGGCATAAAAAGCAGGAATGTGGACAAAGACCGGGGCGGGATGTAAGGAGAGCCTAGGAATCTACGAGAAAATTTTTTCATTGAAAAACACAATAGAGAACGGTAGAAAAATGAAAAGCAGATGAACAAGCAAAGAACGATATTTCTTCCGTAAATAAAAAATGTTTTAGATCGCAAGTGAACATAATTGGCATTGAGACAAACCGTGGAATTTCTCATCTCATTGTTCTCAGTGGATTTTTTTAAACTCCGAAGGAAACGGGCCTGTCTCAAAATAATTATTTGGCCCAAGAATCCAGTCCCTTGCGGTCTAAATGCAATTTCAAGATCTAGCGTCGCTCGAGATAACGCCGGCACAATTTAGGGTGACATTTGACGTACATACGAGTTTCCCTAAATTACGGAGCCGCTCCCAAGTAACCAAGAGACAAGACGGACAATAGAACGGGGGCAAGATAATGCGAGAGTGAAATCAAGAGAAGGATAAATACTGGTAAAGCGAGGACAATGGGAGAAAACTAGCAATGCGCTCTTCAGGAAACGACAACCGTCCGAAAGTGGCAGAAAAAAAAAATAAATGGAAAAAGTTAGAAAAAATAATACAATCGCATCGAGCGATTTATCAACGCCAATGTAAATCTGACATTTGTAGGAATTCCCGATGAGTAAAAAAAAAAAACAGTTAATTCTATTTAAACAACACGCTTGAGTTTACGAGAGCTCCGAATGTGGAATTTATGCACGCGAAATATGTTGAATTGACGTAAGTTGGCATGTACTAGCCAAAGTCGTAAAACGCTATAAAGTGCAGATTTCCATAAGCGGACTTCGGTATCAGATGTGGAAAGCATTTGCTGACATAGGGAAAACAATCGTCGAGACAGCAGAAGATAAGTCAGCAAAGATTTCCTCGTCGGACGAAATTACACCGCTTCGGCGGTAAGGTAAAAGCAAAAATGACTTTCGACATAGGAAAGCCAAAAGAATAAAATACGTGGGATCGGGAGCAGGCGTAGAATAACGGGAAGGAAGACAAGTAGGCCGAGAGAACGAGAGGAAAGAGGACGAAACGAATAGATCGGAGAAACACAGAACCGAGCAAGAAGCAAAGTGGGGTGAAAAACAAGAGAAACAAAGAAGAGGAGGAACGCTCCTCGATAATTTCATGTCGGTTAACTAGTTCTGTACCGTTTAGCTCCAGAGAAGCAGTTTTCCGAGGAGATATTACGACTCGAGTGTCGGCATTATTCTTCAAAAGCGTGAATATATTATTTCCTTCCGCTTTCCCCGTTCGCATTTTTATTTTTTCCCCCCTACCTCGCAATTTACACTTACCCTCGTTTTATTTCCTATTATTACACATTATTCCGTTCCCCTCTTTCGTCACGTTTTCCCTTTTCCTTATCGCGCCGCGCACGAGCCAAGTGTCCCTTGTCCCGTCCATACCTCTGGTTGAATAAATATTTATTTTCCCTCCCCACCGAGAAAACGATTCTCACCGATGGGCACAAATTTTCTACACGCGGGTTTCTAAGTCGAGCTCCGTTCTTCTTCTCTCGCCCTTTAACCCGTTCGTTAAATTTTACGTTAATTTCGATTCAAAAATGATTTAACGTTTCCGGGAATAATTAATATTCCGTTATCATTATCAGGATCGCTACCGCTTGGCGTTGGGGTAGTCGGTTAGGTATTCATTAAATATAGGAATAAGCGCGTCCATTTCTTTGACTCGCAAACCCCGTTCCGAAGGGGTTCTTTCTCATTTATTATATTCTTCGCCTCTCCTCGGTTCCTTACCTTCTCTTTTCCTCGAATATATAATTCCTTTCCTCCTTCCCCGTTTCTCGACCTGGCCGCCTTTCCGAGCTGCGGTTTCAAAAGAGAGACCCCTTCGGGATCGAGGAGGGCAAATTTACTCAGGGAAACGAAACCGATGATCCTCTTCCAGGTCTAAAGTACCAGACTTTAATTTGGTCAGGTTTACGGAGATGACCGGTCTTTAAGGGTCCGAACGAGTTCTTGTCTTTGGAGGTTGGAACCTTCCGGAGGTCTCGGAGTCTCGGATCTTTTCTTCCCTTTTCGGCTAACCTCCGTAATTCCGAACTGCCGCTTCTCTCTTCGGATAAGTACGGTTCGGAATCTGATGGCCGACTGGGTTTCGTAGCCCGTCCGGCGATGCCCGGAATAAAGAGCAAAAAAAGATCACTTCGAAACCCGGAGGGGAATTCTGGGAATTCTTCATCGGAGGAAATGGAATTAACCAGGGTTAGAAAATGCTCGAGCTTGGAACACCCCTTTAGGTTCTACCGGCCTCTGGGCTATTTTCGGCCACTTTTGCCCTCCTCTTTAATTTTCGGATTCTTTTAATGCCAGACGAAATTGCTACTTGCTGCCGAACGGGCTACGTGTGCGAAGAAGTACGGAGAGCCTGAACATGCGCCCGGAATTGAAAAATAAAATCCTAGTTACCCGATACCTTCGAATTTTATCTCACTTTTGTTTCTTCTTTTCATTTCGGACACGATAGCGTTATAAAAAGATTTTTTTTCTTAGAGTTTTCCGAGACGCATTAATTACGTCGAGGCTTCCCAAGGGTCTACGTAAATGATGAGAAATGCAGGTGGAAACTAGAAAATCGCATCTCGGGTTTGCAAATATTTCCTCAAAGGGTCCAGACTCGAATTACGAAGCCACGAGGAGTCTCGAATTTCGAAATACCGTGGACTCAAATTTCGCTCGATCTCCTTGGGTTACGTCTTAGCAATCGCTGTGATTCAGAATTTTCCGTAGATACAGGATAGCTCGAGGATCCGTTTTCAAAAGAGTCTGGACGTTCTCCAATATGCCATGAGACGGCAAAATGCGAGAGGATCAATGAAACGAACCATCGGTGAGAAGCCAATGGAAACGTTTCCTCAATTTTACAAACTCCGTCGCTATCGTCAAGATAATAAGTAACCGCCTAAATGACATAAATATACCAATATATCTCATTGACTAAATCTTTGTCAATTATTTTTAATTGATTTAAGGAAAAACCTTCCATCTCGGTTTTCGCCTCTGTAGAGTGTCACCACTATTCAGGTGACAAATCCCGGTTCCAAGGGAGAGGTCGTCGCTCTTTAGTCTCCTTTTATATTGTCCCAAGCATCCCTTACAAAGAGATACACGTAAAGCGGTGAGATCTCTCTTTTTTTTCCCCTTAGCACCCTTCGTCAAGAGATCACGTTTCAGAGGGAAGAGATCGCAAATGCCGGGTCGTGTTCCTCCTGGTCCTTTCGGCAGCCTTGGGCACAATTACGCGAGATGCTCGACATTTATGAATCCCCGATGCTCCTCGTCATTTCTCGAATTCTCCAAAATCGGCACCGCAAATTGCCGGTCGAAGTTCTCTCGGGGAATTGTCATTAACTCGAAGATGTCTCGCATACCGATATCTCACTCTCGGCTTCTGACTCGCGGGATAGTTTCCAAATCCGTATTCCCGGCGGATCGCGTCCAAGAGTGGCTTCTCCTCTCCGGAAGGTATTCGGGTTTCTAATTCGGAATTTCGAGACCCAGGGCGTACACGGGGCTTCCGGGTCTGGTTTCTTCGAATTTTTGAGCGGCATTTCTCGGCGCTCTCGCTTTAGAAATATCCTTACATCTCGAGAAATTCCAATATCTCGTTGTATACATGTTAGGGAAGTACGCCCACCGAGGGCGGTCCACCTAAGCGCCGTAAAGCGTAGCCGGCAAGTGCGGTTTTGCGCGCAACATAAATTAAAGTGGATTAAATTAAACTAACTTAATTAAATTCCCTTGCCGGAAACTCGATTTAGATTGGCATTCGAGATGCCCGAGGGCGGGAGATACCTTCTTTCTCTGGTACCCTTTAATCGTCCCACGTAAGCCGCGTCCAACACGGCAACGAACGCGCTAACTGACAGAAATTGCAATCATTGATATTCCGTATATCTCGTTACGTGATATTTATTTATTGAAGCGCGTAAAAATAAAAGAATTGCCCGATGAGTCGAATCCGCGATAGGGTTAATCTTTGCATCATCGACGTGGAAAAAAAATAAAAGGAAACGAACTCTCCGCGTAAAGTCTGATTGCTTCCCCGTTGAATTTTTCAATTAGCTCCTCGTAATCGGTTAGCGCAGTCAATTACAAGTTACTTTTGCGACCAGCAGGGAGGAAACTTTCGGACGGGAAAGTTTTTAATGGGCCAACGGGAACTTTAACTAATACACGGCCGACACAACATATTTCCTCGTTTCCTTTCGCGAAATGTTCGTTACACCCGCAGGAATAGTCTGTCAGCGGAAGCGCCGAAAAAAAAAAGATGAAAAAGAAAAGAAAGACGCGAACCGGTGTCGCGTAATTATTTTGCTCCGGATTCCGGAGTGGTAAACATTCATTTTTATTAGCCCAATATTTTCTCTCATTCCGCGGCGCGGTACGTGGGGTGAGAGGAAATTTTTAACGCCCCGTAAATTGACGAGTTCAATTTTAGACGAGATGGATGGATCCGTCTAAAACCCGGACTCAATCTCGACACGCCGGGTCAGACATTTCCCTATTTTCGCGATTTCGTTTCCCTCCTCCGGGGACAACGAATGACTCCATTGACGAAAAGCCAAAATTATCGGTTATCGGCCCGGTCCTCGCTCCTCCCAGCTAATGTACTTTTTATCACGGCCCGCTAATCACTGCCGCGGTGCCGACTGCGGGTCTCGTCCTCCAGAGTCAATTGGACCAGGTCGCAACACGAACCGTCAGATCGTCGGAAATACTCCACCGAGTGCCCTCGAACTCGTAAACTCTCCTTAGATGAACTACATTCCGTAAACTGGTCTTTCGTCCCGAGTACCGGTTCACTCGAATACGCATCGAATAAAGAATTATCCTCCATTCGATATTCACCTCCTCTACTTTTCTCCTTTCGTGCGCAAGACATGACGGAACGAGGATTTCGCCAGATAAAAAGAAAAGAAAAAAAAGATCGGCGATTTCGGTCGTCGGCTCGCTCGAAAAGGGGTTAGAGTTAAAACTCGACGGGCGGTATATCTCGCCCCGACTCCAGAATCGACTCGAAAACGCGACGGTCCGCGAGCTCGGCTGACCGAAAGTCCCATTCTCGTCCCTTCACGGGCCGACCGACGTTCACCGCGGCCGCGTCCACTGGCTCGCGCGTGCTCGGCCGACCAGCGGGCGGCTCGCGAGGGTGTGCGCGCCGCCGAGTCGCTCGACCGGCCGCCGCGGCCGAGGGACCCGCGATGCGCGCGCACGCGCCCGCGCCATTGGAGGCCCTAAGAGGGCGCGCGCGCCCCCCGAGCGTCAGATCCGGCCCGGACGTCCTTCCGTTCCCGAGTCCAGGCGGGCGCGCGTCTCCTCGACTTCAATCGTCCCTCGAATTTCCCCCCGCGCGCACGGGTCGGGGCCGGTCCGCGTACGATATCTCGGGTAACGTCGTAGAAGGCGGTAGTTTTCCTCACCACGCACGACTTTTGGATGTGCGAAGACATTCAGAGTAGTGTCGGACGTATCTCGGGTCGTGAAGCCAGCGGGGGTGTCTTGGTTCTCGTCCTCGGCGGGGGCTGCAGCGGGTGGCGGGGCGCGGGGGCGGGGTCGCGGCGTCCTCGTCCGGGCGTAGGAACGGCGGCGAGGGCAGGACTCGTGGCGGACATCGGCGACCGGAGGCCGGTTCCCACGTCCCGATGCGGCGAGATAACGCGGCGTCCTCCCTATCGAGAGACCCTTCTCTCTCTCTCTTCCTTCCCCTCTCGCTCGCTTCCGCCTTCCGGCCTCCTATGCGCCCTCCTCTTGCTCTATGCCATGCACTCCTGCGGCCGTGTATCCTGCAATCACAGAGAAGCAACAGGGGTCCCGGAGGACCTTCGTTAGCGAGGGTGCAAGAAACGCGGATCGGGTGGGCCAGTCGCCGGGGGAAAATTTCGATGATCGCGGGATCCTCCAGGATCTCGAGCCCGAAATAAGCGACTCGTCGGAGTCTCGCGAATAGTTACGCGCCCGCCATGTTACGTTAAAGGAAACGGAGGAAACTAAAGGGGGTCGGGATGGAATTCCCGGCAGCCGTTACGTTTTCTCTCGGGATTTTACGGAGCGCGACTCGCGCTCTCGAGATGAGCCGAAAGGGCCACTTGGAACGTAATGAAACCCCCGTGAAATTTCAGTTATTCCGGAAATGGAACAAAACGAAACTTGTTTGGAAGAAAAATTAAATTTCACCCCACCCCCACTTGGGGGGAAAGTCTCGTAAACGAGAACCCTCGGACGTCCATTCCGCGTCACCGTAAACGCATTCTCGAGGGCTTTAATCGCTCTTGCATTTCCTCCGCGATGGCGTTATCGCGAAATTCCCGCCCCTTTGTTCGAACGTTCGCGGAGCGGTAACGTCGACACACCCTCGACTCGAGATATCTCGAAACCTAGAAATTACGCCATTTTTATGGGAGCTCGGATCACTGATTTCCCCGATTTTTAAAATTACCGGAAACTGACCCGAGTCGAAGGAACCCCTTCGCTTAAACGTACGGCATCATTTTTATTTACCTAATGCACCTCCCCTGTTGGACGATTTTTTTCACCCCGGCTTCCAAAAAAAAAAAAAAAACGGGGAAAGTGAGATACCGGGGATCGAGGCGGTAAAGTTACATCTGAACCGCCATAACGCTTCCGGGAGGCGTCCTTCGTGGCGACGGTAACGTCGGAAAATGGACGTCGCTTCGCAGGGTGAATTACACCCCGCCGAATCGTTGAAGACGCCAGGGGAAGGAGGTTGGAACGGAATATCTTGTGTGCTTATGAATTTGAAATGACTCCTCGCCGCTCGAGAGATAAGATCAACATGACGTTCGCCCCCCGAGAAAAACGGAACAAAAAAAAAAAGAAAAAGGACGGAGGGGGCGGAAGAAGCCAAACAAACGGTATGCAAAATGGAACTTAATCGAGAGGGTGAAAACGGGACGGCCAAGGAGACGGAAATTGGAGCGTTCCGTCGAATAATAAAAGGAAAAGGAAAAAAAATTGGATCAGGGGAACGGAACCCTTGCGCAATCCCCCCGTAAATATCGAGTCCACGTTGCGACGGAGTCGCGACCGGGATAAGAGGCTCGAGGAATCGAGACGAGGTGTGTCCATCTCTCGAGAAGGGTAATCTCCTACAAGTGGCAACGCGAGCAAAACACGCGAAAGCCTAACGAGATGTAACGGTAAATGGGCTCGCAGCGGAGTACAAGCTGGGGAAAAGGGGAAGGCCGAGATTGGATATCGCGTGGATTTATGAACTCGAAATGGACTCGCGCGGTCGGAGATACGATCGCCAGAACACTCGTCCCCGACAAAGAGAGGAGCTCCATTGCCAGAGTTCGCGCGAACAAAACCGAAAAAAAAAAAACAAATTAAAGAACTTCAAAACTGGACCTCTCGAATTCCTCCACCCCGAGAGCCCTCGCACCCTGGTCCTCGACCATCCGGGTTCACGTCGTTTCCCCCTGAATAAAAAAAAAGAAGAAGAAGAAGCTAGGAAATTCAAATGCAAATGGGAATAAAAAAAATGCGAGGCTTAACGAGGATATCAAAGCAAGAGGGGCTCGCTAGAGTGGGGGGGGGGCGCAGAGGGAGGGCGCACGTCGCGTGGATTTATGAATTCGAAATGGACTGGCGCGATCGGAGGAGAAAGAGAGAGGTTAGGTCGGGAGAGTGGTTCGGCCGGATTGCGGTTCCCGGCGCCGTGCGGTCTGCGCTGCACGTGCGCGCCGCTGCGCGGGGTTCCGCGGTCTGGCGCGGGGGGCGGCACGGTCGGAAGGGTCGGCCGGTGTGCCGGAGAGGGGGAAGCGGGAAACTCTAAAGTTACCCCTCCCCGCCCCGCTCGCGCCAGTGGCGCCCGAGTATCGTTACGGGTAATGTCTCGCAGCTGTGACGGAAGAAAATCGACGAGCCGTCGGAAACGCCGCCAACTCCGGACGTCGGCGGGCTTTCCCGCGCAGCTGCACCTGCACGTCCACACCGAGATATTTAGTGCCCCTTTGTTGCCAATTTGTCGACCGACGAATAATGACGAGTCCTCCTCCTCCTCTTAGCGATCGTGGGAATTATCGTCACTTATTCCCGCGGTTCGGACGAGCGAACTCATCTCGTGATCCCGTTTGGTTTATCGGGCTGGGAAGAGAGCAACGGGGGAAAAGAAAAATAGAAATATAAAAGAAGTAGTCGCCCCACCGTTTGCTACTTATTGGATTCGCGCGACGTAGGAGGTTAGGAAAGGCTTGGGTTAAGTTGCCCGGAAGCGCAGGAAAGTTCTTCGCGATTGTTTTCCGACGTTTAAAAGACTTGAAGGGAGAGAGATGGGGAATGGCTGCGGGAGGGTCTCAGCGACGGAAAATGTGCCCGGGAGGAGAACATAATAAAACCATTAGTTTCTCCTGTAAGCCGAGGGGGGGAGCGTAAATGTCAATTCTCTATGAAGATTTAGTGGTTTGCCGGTCTGACGTTTTCTTTGCTCGGGTGGGCATAACGCGTCAACGGGCATCACCGTGGCACGAGCATACGAGGCTGTAAATCCGAACATCGTTGTATTCACGTTTTTTTTTTTTTTTTTTTTAATTACAATTGTGCGAAAAAAATCAAGAAGCCGCGCCGTGGGCTCCTCGAGTAACTTTATCGCGTGGGTAATTCCTTTCTTTGTTCGATCTCTCTCGTTGGCAATTAATAATGGATTTTCATATTTAAGAAACGGCAACGGAATTAAAGGTTTTACTTCCGGCGAGGGAGACTGGCCAAGGTTTTACCCATTCGAAGGAAATACGCCAGGGACCCTACAAAGGTACGCGCTCCGCCTCGTCGGAACAGGAAAAAAAAAAGAAAAAAGGCGTCTTTATGGGTTTTAAGCTGCTAAGAATTTAAGTTCCCATTCATTGGCAGCGGCAGCTGCAGCTGCGAGCGATGTAACTTTAATCCGACTTGCCGAGCCGGCGGTTTTCGCCGCCTTCATATCGAAATAGCGGAATTCAGGGACCAAACGGAACAGGCGAAAAGCTTTAATTAACGCTTCCAATTACCGTTCCCCGAAGTAGTTTTCGTTTTCAGAATTTCCCCGATTCGGAAGCTGTCGACCGGTTAGGAAGCGGGTAGGCATTAGAGAAGCCCGCAAATCGCCGGCGATTTTTCGACGGATAAAAAACGTCCTTCCGGAACTCCTCCGAACGGGAGTGACTTTCTCCCCTAATTCGAGAAACGCGAAATCGTCGCGCTGTAAATTAAAAGCCACCCCGCGCTGGACTTTCGGTATTATAATTGACAATAGGACGCAACAGGGGAATAAAAGAGAGCCGCACACCGCGCGCGGAATCCGAGCGGACGTCCGTTCGGCCGGCAGGTCCTCTTTAATTCCCCTCTAGGAGTTATATTTTCTTTTGCCAAGCCTAACGCTTAACCCAGTAAAGTAAAGCCGGAGGATCGGTAGAGTAACGACCAAGCAAGCCGGGTAACAAGCGCGCCCGGAATGCAGAAACGTTTCGCAAGGATCGAACGACCGGGTAGAATTTCCACTTCACGGTCGTCTTCCACCCGACCCGTCGGTCCGCCATCTTTCTTTGGGTCCGGAGAGCGCGGCGCTTCCGGTGCCGAAATTATTCGGAAATTCTCTCCTCCGCTTCTCCGCGGACCGCCCTGGGTGCTTCTCAAGGTTTCCCCCGGGTCGAGAATTTGCGGAAAATGGAGGAAACCTAGGAGAGCCGCGCGAGGGAAGGTTCCCGTCGAATGGCGACGCAATATCCGTCTCGCCGCGGGAGGAACCTCCGAATTCTCCGTCGGAGCTCCCCCCGGGAAAAGCGAGCAAATACAACGGGGAGGAAAGAGGGCCGGCGGAAAAGAACCGGCGGGGAAAACATTCCGCGATAACACCGGCACGGTATCGACACGCAGGAAACACTCGCGAAACCAGTTCAAGGCTCTCGCCTCTCGTCTCGTTTGATCTCCTCTCGGCGGCGCCTCCTCTTCCTCCCCCGCCGCGCCAAAGATCCACAAAGACAAAACGCCGTGCGTCACGGCTCCCTGAAAAGCCCTCGCAAAGCTTTGCCGAAGCTCGCTCGGGCCGCATTTGCGGGTATGTATCGCGCGCGGTCAATGGAGAAAGGCGGAAACTTTCGCGCAAACAAAGAGTTTCGCTCCGCAACGGTGCCGCGGAGTTTCCGGCACGGAGGCCGGAAGTGCGGCCCCCAAAGTCCCGGAACCGGAAAATTGCGCACGGTCCTCGATCGATCAAATTTCGCCGTCACCCTCTCGATCTCCCAAAATTCCAGGAAGAACCGAGCGTAAAAACGAAAAAAAAAAAAAAAGAACAAACAGTTTCCCCCGCGAAAATTCCCCCGACATCCCGAAGAGGGATTTTCGCGAAGCTCCCAGAAAACGACGGCGGAGTTTTCCGAGGCCGGGATCGAATAAAGGATACCCCTCCGCCCCGCTTTAGAAATCGAGCTCTAACGAGGTACGGGGGCTCGGAACCGGGGAGAAGAATCAAGAAAGAAAGCCCGAGGGCGTCTTTCTCGCCTCCGGGGTGTCCCCCGCAGGAATCTACATCGCGAACAGCGCCTCCTCGCGTCCGCCGATCTCGTCGTCCAGGGTGCCCAATAAACGAGGCGTCCCCGGAATTCCCTCTTCCCAGGCATATTCGCTCTCGTACCGGTAATCCTCCCCGGTCCAGCCGGAGTTTCCAAAAGAAAGAGCTTCAATTATATTCGCCTCCGACTTCCGCATCCGAGGAGAGTGGGGGGGCTTGGGAAATCTTGGCGGATTCGCCTCTATTAGTTCGCCGCCTCTGTGGACCCACTCCGCGAGG